GTAACGATATTATTTTAATAAAATTAATAATGATATTGAAAGCTCTAACATTTGCTTGATTTCAAAAGTAGTCTTGATCCAACTCATCCATATGTTGTTTAAAATCATCATAAAATGTATTTTTTTGAAATATCTATGTTATTATTTATGTTTATTTTTCCTTTTTTTATTACATTTACATATGTTTATTAATACATTTACATATGTTTGAAACTCCTGTGACATATAAACTCAAAAGTGGCTTGGGGCCAACCTTGGTCTTTGTTGGATCACTAAATCTAACATTAATATATGTTTAAGTAAATTACGTGTTTAACATTTAAACTATCAATTTTGATATGTTTTAGCAGTTAAAGTTTTAATTTTTTAAAATCATACATAACGTTTAGTTTTTTGTTTCATTTTAGTATCCACCGTTAAAAACTCAACGCTCTTAGTACCTAAACTGTCAGTTTTTATCCGTTTTAGTACCTAAACTTTCATTTTTTTCCCAAAATTTAACGTTAAATTTTTAATGGTATACTAAAATGAAACAAAAACTAAAAGTTATATGTGCTTTTGAAAAAAAATATGAAAGTTTAAATGCTAAAATGGACCAAAACTGATAGTATAGATACTAAATGAATAGTCTACCCTATATATTTTGAGTTACACAATCCGACTCTTAATGGCGTACATTTACATATTAAAAATACAAAAATTTAAACTACTCATAATAATTATTTATAGTAATGATTTAAGTTGTAGCAGTTATAAGCGGTTTATTTAGTCTAATTTAGATGAGAAAAACATAATTGATCATTAAACGACGTTTGAGGAGGAATGAGTGATAATGTTAGTGAATAAATAGTTCAAGAGAAAGTGAAAGAAAAAAAGGAAGAGTCTAAAAAATATGAATTCCCTTTCTTATAATATAGCATAGTGGTTTATATATTGACTTAATGTGAGCGTGTTGATGTTAGATTTAAGATCATAATTGTTGTTTGTAAACCTAATAGAATAAATAATTATGATTACGTAATCAATGAATTCGATTACGATGAATCTTTTAAATTTATCATTTTTATTATTATATTTTCTTCATATTTATGGTGACGTCTTTTACATCATCAACCATTTTAAATATGATCTTTGATGATCTAATAATTGCTTATTATTAAAAAAAATCATCTTAGATGTCCTATTTATTAAACATAAAGAGTCTTTAGATCAATAAGTATGTTTTACTAAGATTTGAGGATTCATGCTTTTTCTGATGTTTAATGTTTTAATTTATTTAGTGTACAGATATTCAGTTCGTTTACGTATAAAATTATTTATTTATTGATTTTATCTCATATGATGATTTAACAATTTTAAAATAATTCAAATTAATCAATATAAATATATTCATTGACGTTCAATCATACACGATCGATTTAATTTTAACTTGTTAACTTTCATTTATTAATAAAAAAATATATTTATAACAATCATTTTCATATCAATATTTTATCTTAAAACTTCACTCTAACAATTTTATTTGATTTGTAGTTCTTTAAACTTATTAGCAATGCACTAAAATCCTTGCTTTTCCCTTTCCCTCTGTAGGAATTCTTACAAATCAATGAAAAATAAAATATTGCTTGGAGCAAACTAAAACTAACTAGAAACGCCGTCGTTTAAGAGGTCCATTTTCCATGGGTTTTTTTGGCTTTCTTTCTTAAAATGAAAACGAGAAATATAAGAAATAACGCACAGATCTGTTTGATTTGGCTCTTATTTGATTTATCTGAGAAATCGTAGCCACAGGGAGAGAAGAGTGGCCATTGAAATTTCTTCGTCGGGTAGCTTTTTTCCTCCGTTCAAAACCCTAGATAGAGGAGAAGAGCTAGGAATTCTATATCTATTTCATTTCCGCCCCCTTCAAGAGCACTGCAAAAGAGAAAAGTATTCGAATTACGAAGACAAGGAATCGATGGATTTGGATCAGTGGATAGCAAAGGTTAAAGAAGGTCAGCATCTTTTGGAAGACGAGCTTCAGCTTCTTTGTGAATACGTAGCTCCTTTCCTCCATCTCTATACTTTCCATTTTTGAATTCTTCAACTATTAGGGTTTTACAGCGGTTACTTTTTGTCGTTTTTATATATTGATGCTTAAAATAGGGCTTCGATCGTTTCTTTTGGTGATTTGGAAATTGAGAGAAATTTAGAACAGCGTTTGATTAGTTGAAATGAAGTTCATGTCTGTAGTTGAAACTCATGAAATCTATGTTTCTTTTTTTAGTTTTCCTTTTTGAAATTATAGTATCTGTTACTGACTTAATGCTTGTAATGTATTTTTTTACACGTAATGTTTACCGTTATATTTGTTACTGTACTTGGTTTCTTTGTTATGCTTTTTAGTAGAGTGTTTTGCTCGTCATTATATTGTAAACTTGCTGTTTTATTTGCCATGAAGGTTTACTCTCTGTGTCAGTTCATCTGAAGGCAGTTCGCTGTATATTTTATTATGTAAAACATAACAGGTAAAAGAAATTCTCATTGAGGAGTCCAATGTGCAACCTGTCAACAGTCCGGTAACTGTTTGCGGTGATATCCATGGTCAATTTCATGATCTAATGAAACTTTTTCGGACAGGAGGCATGTACCAGAGACAAATTACATTTTTATGGTAAAGTTTGTATCTTTTGCCTGGAAATTTTTGTTAAATTTTATGTGATGCCAATATCTATGAAGGATGTGTGATTTCAACTAATCTATGCTAAACTTATCTGTTCGCTTTGGCAGGGAGATTTCGTTGATCGAGGTTGTAATAGTCTTGAAGTTTTCACTATTCTTTTGCTTCTTAAGGCGAGGTATGCATGGCGGATAATTGGTTAAGTATCCCTATGACATTACTTGGGTTTATATTCTAATTTTTAACCATGTACTTGGGTATATTGTTTTCGTGCTTGCAACTTGTTCATGGTCCACTGTCTAATTCCTAGCCGAATTTGCAGACCTCTAATGTATAGTGTAAACTAGTGCTCGTTCTTATTCCTTGTTGAAGCTATCATGTTGTTTTGGCAACAAGAGAGCCATAATATACCGTATTCGTTGTCATTCTTGCATTTCAGAGAGAAAAGTACTGATGCCATAAATTGGTTCTGCTATTGCTTTTCTGAGCATTTGATAAGGATATTAAATTTCTGATTCTGCTCCTTTTTCTGCTGGGTTGTCAAATGCTGTTTCTTGCTTTAAATAATAGGTAACTTTGGTTTTATCTTTATGTGTTTTGAATCATAGGTACCCAGCTAATATCACTCTCTTGCGTGGGAATCACGAAAGCCGACAACTAACTCAGGTGTGCCCGTGAATACCAAATTGGAATATGCTTATAAAAAGCTTGTAGAATATATACATGTCATGTTCGGTTATAGGTGAATTAATCTGCCTTTTTTTTCCTCTTTCTTTATTGAGGGAAAAAGGGATCTGTGCTTTTCTAAGGATTAATTTGTGAAAATCTATGGTTAAATTTTAAGATTAGCTTTCTGTATGCGAGCATCAGAGTTATTGGAAGTTATATATGCAATCATATTAGTTTGATTTTTAAGGTTGTTGTGCTCCTTTAAAGCTGGAAATTTAAGAAAAGCATCCCAAATACCAAGGACTGATCTTTTTTTTTGTGTGTGTGTATTGATCTTTACTAGGTTTATGGTTTCTATGATGAGTGCCAAAGGAAGTATGGAAATGCTAATGCATGGCGGTACTGTACAGATGTTTTTGACTACCTTACGCTTTCAGCAATTATAGATGGGACTGTAAGCATTTTCTCTCGTAAGCCTACTACATCTAAGCACCTTATTTGCATTTTGCACATCTTTGATTGTTCTATGGTTTTCTATTTTGTAGGTGCTTTGAGTACACGGTGGTCTTTCTCCTGACGTAAGAACAATTGATCAGGTAATTTTCATAATTTGAAGTTCATTATGGTTTTCTTGTAGCAAAGCATGGATAATTATGTGATAAACTGGTCTGAGACATCTCGAGTAATCAAATAAGAGAAGGGTGTGTATGGTGGAGGACAAAATTATGGTCAACAGAAGATAACTAAAGTCCTAAGAAATAATGGAGACGCCGTATGTTCCTTTTCATTGATACTACAGATTGTGTTTAGCTTTTGCTGTTATATTTTCCTTTGGAGACTTGATTTTGCAAACTTTATGGCTTTTGTCCTCGAAGAGGCTGCATTGCAGCATTGAACTTTATTGACTTTGTGATAAACTAGTCCGAGGATTAATCTTTTTTATTCTGTTTAGTTCATAACAATCCTCCAAATCTGCAGATGAATTTCTTAGTTCTTTATTGTGATCTGTATTTGTTGCTAGTTGCTACTGCAGTGAAGTCTGTAAAAACAGTTTACTTTTTGGATGAAATAAATTGGTTATCCGGAAAAAAAAAGTTAAATAAAATGCAAGTGCTTGGTCTCCCGGTTGCTTATTATAATTTGATTTCTTATGCTTAAGGGATAATTGGTTCTTTAATCACTAACAATCCGGTGGTATTTTATTTCACAAGTGCAAGTGCCAGTTTTCTTTATGAATGTAGTGATTGTTGGTTTGCTTTGTTACTTTGTTAGATAGTGTTGATGTAGTTTTCTTTTCCTCCTCTTATGCCAGATTAGGTAATCGATCGTAACTGTGAAATCCCTCATGAAGGTCCATTCTGTGATCTAATGTGGAGTGATCCTGAAGATATTGAAACATGGGCTGTCAGTCCACGTGGAGCAGGTTGGCTATTTGGGTCCGGGGTCACATCCGAGGTAACCTGTTACATCTCAGTTTATAATCATCTTGTCACACTGAAACAATAATTTCAAGTTTTTAACCTTTTTTCATCTGTTGCAGTTCAACCACATAAATAATCTTGATCTTGTTTGTCGAGCTCACCAACTCGTGCAAGAAGGTCTAAAGTATATGTTTCAAGATAAAGGCCTAGTAACTGTGAGGCACGATACTCTGGTATTTTTCTTGTTTGCCTAATGGTGTTAAGAGTTTATTAGAATTTCTTGATTATTGATTTTTTTTAAGGTATGGTCCGCCCCGAATTATTGTTACCGATGTGGGAATGTAGCTTCTATATTGAGCTTCAATGAGATTATGGTGAGAAACCTTTTTCCATGTACCTTTCTTTCCTCTTCACTTTATACGGCTGCATAAAATACCTTGCTAAGCCTCGGTTTCAAATCTTCCCAGGTCGTACTTGTGTTTATAATCTTCCATAGAACAACACTATTCATTACGCTTATTGTTATTTGCATTTCTTCAGGAGAGAGAAGTGAAGTTCTTCACCGAAACAGAAGAAAACAATCAGATGAGAGGGCCCAGGACTGGAGTTCCATATTTCTTGTAATCAAATGGAGTTGTACAATTACCTCAAACATTCGGTTTCTTAAAAGCGGCTGAACAAGAAAAGCCTTGATACGATGCTTGCATGCTCTGGTAAATTTCTGGTCCATTCTTGGCTGCAACAAGCCTTTTACCTTTAAATCTTCGTCATCAATTTCATGTTCATTCCCATACCATTGGTATTAACGTATGCTGCTTGATGTTTAGTTAATGACTTGATGACTGGTTTTGAATTATTGAGTCGTGTATTTGTTTCATTATTGTATACTGCTTTGATCTAGTTCTAAATTATCATTATATGTTTTCTTATGTGTTTTCATTTTGGGTAAAGCACACAAATGGCCACTAAATTATGTTGAAATGATTTTTTTGGTCTTAAATTTTGGAAGTTACGAAATAATTATTAAACTTCTCAAATGGTTACAAAATGGTCTTAAAACTTATCGAAATTTATCATCATTTTATAATAGCATGCAATGGATATTTTATAATAACTCGATATGTTTAATGGCCATTTGTAACTTTCAAAACTGTAAGTGATTAAAATGATCATTTTAACATAGTTTACTGACTATTTGTGTACTTTTTTTTGGGGTGGGGGACAAAATATCGGTTGATAATGATGGTTCCAATTGTAAAATATTATGAAAATATTTGTTACAAATATTAATATTGGAAAAAGATATGAAAACTTACTTTAATTTTGCTGTGAATTCTCACAAACAAAAGTTGCTGACAATCACGTATAGTACTCATTCATACAATCAATTAATCATAGAACTCGGTTTTATTTTTCAACAATCAGTAATTCAAATATTTTTTTTTGGATAAATCAGTAATTCAAATATTGCTTAAAGCAATAGGATAATTATTTCATAGGTCGATGGGGGTATTTTCAGGGTAAATCATATATTAGTCAATAATTTTTAGTTTTGTATTGATTTGGTCAGTGGAATTTAATTTTTTTAATTGTCACTGAACTTATGATATTCTTTTAATCACTAAATTGTTAAATCATTAATGACATGGTTATTGTTCATCATTCGTGTAAAATTGATGTCAAAATGTCATTTTTTGAATTGTTTTTTTAAAGAACTCACTTAAAATTGATAAAAAAGAAAATTGAAGGGTAATATTCTAATGATGAATTTGGAACATAATGAATAAGGAGATTATTTTATAATTTTTAATAATCAAATAATCAAACAAAACAACATTCGATAATTAAAGGATCATTTTGTAATTATTAATAATTAAATAAATTAATAAAATAATATCTTATAGTCATAAAACATTTGTGTACTTTACCCTTAATCTGAAAAGGTTAAATATTTTTATTCAAAACCTTATTTACGTTGAGATTGAACGTAGTAAGGCGGGGCTCTTAAAAATATCCTCAACAGAAACAAAATAAAAAATAAAAAAATGGCGGGGTTTGTACCTCCAGGTACCACCACGGTTCCGGCCGACGACGCTTCCAAGACGAATAAATCCGACGAGAAAGTCGATTACATGAATCTCCCTTGTCCTATTCCTTTCGAAGAGATCCACCGCGAAGCTCTCAGTTAGTTCTTCCCTTTCTCTCTTCCTGATCTGCTGGCTTATGTTTTTTTTTTTGTTTTTATATTTATTGATTGATAGCTATTTTTTGTGATTAGAATGAGAGCTTTCTTTCTTGCTTTCTTCTTTTCAAAATCTTTGGCATTTTTAGGTGAATTGGTTAATTTATTTGAGTGGTGTGGAGATGTTACAGATTTAGTTCCTGATTTGATTAAGGCTCTTCATAGAGCCTAAGTTTGCTCTGATTAGCTTGATTTACTGAAGTAGAGAGGAATGTATCTCTGTGAGTACGAAGAGGGAAGGTTTTGATTTTCGATTTAGTATTTTAATATACTAATGTAGTAGTGTCTTCGACCAGTGTATTGAAAGCGATGGAAAAAGTTATCGATCATTGCATTTAATACACCATTTTAGCATTATGACTGTAAGTGTTGCACGAACCAAGCGACCCCAGTCGTAAAAAAAATCCTACTGCTCACTATGAATTCGGTGCCAATTTTATTGACCCAAATGTAGGTGGTTCACCCATTATATTGATTTTTCATTATCATCCTATTGGCCTCCTAATTTGTTTTATTTTACTAAGTTAATCTAATAGTAAAATCAATAGGGTTTTCCACAGTTGATGCTTATTGGGAGGGTGTTGACTGATGGTAGATTCAATGCAAGAGTGAAATGGGATTTGACTGACAATCTTACTGTGAAGGCTAATGCTCAGGCAAATATTCTTTTCTTCTTCAAGCTTTGGTTTTCACATTTGCAGGCATAACTAATGGTTTTTCATATATAAACTAGTCGATAACCTTTTTTTTTTGTTCCAGCTCACAAATGAGCCCCATATGTCACTTGGCATGTTCAACTTTGGTTACAAGGTCAGTCACTCTTAAACTAGTTTATATCTTGACTAGTTAGGTCTCAAGCAAGAGTGAAATGGGATTTGACTGATAATCTTACTGTGAAGGCTAATGCTCAGGTAAATATTCTTTTCTTCTTCAAGTTTTGTTTTTACATTTGCAGGCGTAACTAATGGTTTTTCATTTATAAGCTAGTCGATAACCCCTTTATTTTTGTTCCAGCTCACAAATGAGCTCCATATGTCACATGGCATGTTCAACTTTGATTACAAGGTCAGTCACTCTTAAACTAGTTATATTTTGACTAGTTGGGTCTGGGTTGTGTCTGTATTATTGTTTGTTATAATCTACGAAAATAATCGAAGGAGAGGGAAAGAATAAAATAATGCAAGAGAAATCTGACTATTGATTGAATTAGGATATTACAATTATTTAAATAAACTGAGCTGCTGACTTATAATAGAATTTTTCTGCTAATGATAAAATTCTATCTAGAGATAGAGATTACAAGGCCTCCTAAACAAATGAGATTTATACACGACTGATTCTGACATTGTTTATTCCATTTTTATGTTTGCCAATTCTTTTCGTCATTTTTTTCCCTTTTTCTTTTTGGGAGATATTTTTATGTTTGTAAACCAATTTCTATGTGCCATGAAATGCGAGTTTGCATTGTCTTTTAACATTTTCTTTTCTTCGTACAGGGTAGAGACTTCAGGTCTCAGTTTCAATTAGGAAATGGTGCCTTATTTGGAGCTAGTTATTCCAGGTAAAACATGAAGCCACAATATATCTTTGCAATTACTTGTGCATACATAGATGCTAAATAATGCAGACTTTGCGATTTCTTTGTCCCTTGCAAATACTGAGATGCATGCTTGTAAAAATTTAGGCAATAGATTGTAGGACCAGGTTCATTCATCAGAGCCAGTGGACAATTGCTTTTTTGTGATAGTCACATGTATGAACATCATGATGCAAGCTCTGAAATCTGTTATTTTTTCAGATGCTGTGCCTTATTATCAATGATATGGTGTATCTTCCTTGTTTTAAATGCTAAATACCATACGGTATTTTCTTTGCTGTTTAAGAGAGGCATTGATTGTTCTCATCAGCAATCTTCTTATGAATCCACCATTTTTTGTAATTATGATTTGTTGTTATTAGTATATTAATCTGTGCCATGTTTTTTGCAGTGTCGCACCACATTTATCCTTGGGTGGTGAAGTATTTTGGGCTGGTCAGCACCGAAAGTCGGGCTTAGGTTATGCTGCCCGATATGAAACAGAAGATGGTAATTGCTGTCTGGTTTCATCCTTTATAATTGGTTTTTCAGTATTTATTTTTGCAATTGTTAGCGGGCGTTGTTTTCGACTGCCAAATATGTTTCTAAACCTGTTATAATGGTATGATTGTCATTTAGATCCCTAACCAAAATACTATAATATTACACATTTTTTTATTAATTCGGGATAAATAAAAGACAATAGATGTTTATAGACAATTTTCTATCATTTGACTTTGAACGCTTAAATCTCTAACATTCCTGATGTTCAAACCTGAAAACTCAATAAATGAGTTTGAACTCGAAAACACTGTTCATCGGAGGTGATGGTAGAGCAATTTTTATCGGGTACTGTCGATATCTGATTTGGCCGGTTTAAAATTTTTTGTTTAAGGTTTAGGGTTTGATAAATCAATGCGATCTGAGTTTGCTTATACTCTTTCCTTTATACCCATAATAATATATTCAAACCAGTGTCAGATTTTATGTATAAAATGGTCGAAGAAAATATATTGATAAGAGTATTTAAATTATTAGTTTCAAATTTTAGTATTAGAATAGAATTAATGTCATCATATCTCCCTAAACTATAACTATCTTTTAAATTTGGTCCTTAACTTTTAAATATTCTAATTCATCCCCAAACTATGAATCACATTATAAGTTAGTCCTTAAACTTTTGAACATTCTAATTTCATCTAAATTCATCCAAGCATGTAACCTAATTTATTTTTTCAAATATATAATAATATAACTTGGCCTAACGATTTTACTAACAAGGGATGTGATCAATATATACATATAGTTTGGGATAAAATTGGAATGTTCAAAAGGTTTAGGGATCAATGTAGAATGAACGTCTTTAGTTTGGGGATGAAATTGGAATATTTAGAACCTTAGGGACCAATTTAAAATGAGGGTCATACTTTAAGGACACGTGATGCAATTAACTCATAGAAATATAAAGGTAAATGTATTGAATAGACGGATCTTAATTTAATTCAATATCAACTCAAGTAAACAAAACAAGATTAACATAAATCAAAGAGAAAAGGTAAGTTTTCTGTCTTCTACTCGGTGCTTTCCCTTTGTGCAATCAAAGAACAAAGTCTTTTGGTTTCATTTCCATCTTCAATGTCTCAGGTTTGCTTCAGCTTTAAGTTTTCTGTTTGTTTGTTCATGGGAGAGTAGAAATCAAAGCGATCATTGGATATGGGTTTAATTTTCTCTTCGGGGTCTAGGCCGAGTCAGGAACCTGTTGAAAATGAGGTAATTATAGGGTCAGGACGAGATCGGATAGGATCATCTGTGGGAAGTGTTTATCAATGGCCTCAGAATTCCAGGAATTCTGGCGTAGACAACACTCGTACCGAACCACCACAGTCGTCGGCCAAGCCGACTCTATGGCTTCCGAGTCCACCTTCATCGATGAAAACATCTTCATCGTTCACAACCCGAGAACCACCTTCACCACCTAAATATCGGATGCCGTCTAAACCATCCATACCGACTCTGAAACAATTGTCTTCATCTACTAAGCCGAATCCAACCCCTAAGCCAACTCTATCCTCTCTGCCTTCTAGTTCGACCACACGACAAGGGGAAGGAATGTACAAGCTGGGCGATCCGAAGGATAAATTACCTATTTACATGATTCCAGCCGTACCGACCCCAAAACTGTCGTCTTCATCTACTAAGCTGAATCCATCCCTTAAGCCAACACTATCCTCTCTGCCTTCTAGTTCGACCACACAACAAGGGAAAGGAATGTACAAGTTGGTCGATCCGAAGGATAAATTACCTATTTACATGATTCCAGAGGACATCAAGGACTTGATTAAGAGAGACATTGTGCCCGACGTTCTGAAAAAACCATCGTCTCCCTCAACGTACAAAGATTACTTTGCAGCTCTTCTGTACGCCGAAGATTACTAAATGGAATCTGATTCTATCCATTTGTATAATTTGATGATTTCTGGTTGGAGAATGTAACTTTGCAGTTGCAACCAGCATCAATCGATCAAAAGTCTGGACGAAATAAGCATTCAGAGATGGATGATAAAACTTTTTGTGGTATTTAAGCTGGATTCTCTTTCTAAGACACAGCGGCCGTATATTCTGTCGAGGGACTTCGTCTTTGCAAAACGGCTAGGCAAAGAAATCGAGCCATTTCAGGTTGACTCCTACTCTTCGCATTTAAGATAATAGTTCGGGTTTGAGTGTTGGACTCGGATATGCGTGAATGCATGTGACATCTTAATCTTTCCTCAATCCTTTGTTACACTCTCGTGTTGTTTCAGGGAGTTATATATAGGGTGCAAAAGAGTGAGACCGTCCTAGTCGAATTCGGAGATGAGTTCCATTCTCAGCATGCTTCATCCTGCAGATATAATATCCGGTTCTCATTCAATAGAGTCTGCTTGAAAAGGGCTCACCAAGCAGTTGCAGCTGTGTCCCCGTCTTTGATCGGGAAGTTCCTTTTCCCCAACTCTATCTCCCAACATCCTATGCGTATCTCAGAATGTTTTAATTTTTACAACCAAGATCTTGATCAGGATGAAAAGTTCGCTGTTCATCGTATTTTGAATGTTCGAGGCCCTCCTCCGTTCTTAGTAAAGGGCACTCTCTGTGCAACGAACAATGGTTATTCTGAATCCTTTTCAAAGCGACTTTCAAGAACTGGACTGGTTGTTATAGAAGCGGTACTGCAAATTTATCTACGCCATCCACAGTCAAAGATCCTTGTCTTTGCACCTACAAATATCACATGCGATGTGCTAACGAGATGCTTGAAAATGGAAATTCCACAGTCCGATATATTCAGAGCCAATGCTACATTCAGAGAGTTCGAGGAGGTCCCTATTGATATCCTCTCATCCTGCCTATACAAAACAGAAGCTGAATGTTTCAGTTGTCCTTCGCTCCGAGAGCTAAAGGAATTCCGAGTAATATTTTCAACTTTTACGAGCAGCTATCGCCTGTACACTGAAGGCATACCTGCCGGACATTTTAGCCATATCTTCATGGTGGATGCTTCTTCAGCCACTGAACCTGAGACGATGGTGGCATTGGCAAACTTGGCTGATGAGAGTACAACCCTGATAGTTACTGGTGCACCCGGAAATCGTTCAAGCACTGTCCGTGCAGATATTGCAAGGGAGAAGGGACTGAAAATATCTTACTTCAAAAGGCTTTCGGAGCATAGTTCGTACAAGAATAGCAATTCGATGTTCATTGCACAGCTCAAGGAAAAAGCCTAGGTGCCGGGGGAGAAATGCAGGGGAACAAATGAACAAGGCCAAAAAAATCACTTCAAAGACTACAAGAAGCTGAAAACTAAAATATAGTTGTGAATTTGTGTGATATTTCTTTCTTGGAACACTTCTGTCTACTTCCCATATTATATAAAGTCGCTCTCTAAAGACTTTCAACCTTCGTCACTGACCATTGTAACAACACTGATGACTAAACAATGAAAATTCATCGACATTTCGGAACAAAATACGAATGACAGATGAGTCAAACTAGACATATTTATCACCTGATTCAGCATCTGCCGGACTGAAAACAGAAGAATGAAGATTACCATCTTAACTAAAACGCCTATCAATATGATCGACTCCGTAAGATACAGAGCATAATGGTAAGAAATGCTAGAAAGGCTTGTGCCATATTTTTGTTGCAATCCAATCAATATTGGAAGAGAGAGAGAATCGGTTGAAGTTTCTAGCTTTAACTGCAAGCTACCACAACATAGCTTCTTAAATTTAACATCAGAAAATATTAAGAAACTTGTCGGAAGTATAAAATTGTTAGAAATAACCAATTATGCCTCTCTAGACAACCGGCCTCTATAGATTACAAACTGGAAAGATCATCAAATCCACCCATCATAAAAAATGAAAGCATTAAGAAGATAAAGTTTAACATCACCAACAATGAAGTTCTAAGAAATCCTTTTCGCAGCATCGTCGGAACTTAATGATAGTAATCACACAATTCCTAACTTGAAGGAGATAACTGCTTTATTTTTGCTTGTAAAACTACTCCAGCTTCATCAGCCAACGTTTTCTTCTTGGATGCAACCTACATGTTAAATTAGACAGTTCTGTTACCACAATCAAAGCATATTCAAAGAACATAGGCGACATAATCATGTCAGCCGAAAGAAAGCACGAATATTAAAGTGAAGGAAATCCATCTCAACTTGATTAATTAAGCTCAAGTGTTCTGAGTTTTAGTTACATTTTTTTTCTGTTACCCCAAGAGAGCCATAATTAGTATCACCCTGCAATAAGAAATTACAAACATGCATTCGACTAGCACATGTACAAAACACAACTTATCACAAGAGTGACGAATCCTTCCTACCCCATGGTAAGGTTTTCCATCTAACAATATCAGTCGAATAATCGTTAAAGCAATCAATATAGGGACAAATTACAACTACCCATGAACTCGGATTTACTCTAAGTCGTTTATGCATCTACCTTTACGAGGTGATGTCTAGCTATTTGAGGATACCAATGCCGGAGAGCTTAGTACCATCCAGCAACGAGAGATTACAAAGAATGTATCCACCCGCAAGCATACGGAACCAGACTAACCAGAAGATAGGTGACCTTTCCTTCTTCACAGTGAGGTTTTCCATCTAACAACATCGGTTTAAGAAGCTTTAAAGCAATCAAATCCAGTGGACAACTAACTTAAAAGTACTCATGAAGCCTGAAACTTAGTCTTATAAGTTCATCAATCCACCTTTAATAGCTGATATCTAATTGGTTTAAAAACTAACAAGTACCCATCAACTTTAACCATGGAATAATAGAACTCTTACAATAAAATACTTCTTTCCATCAAAAGAGTGATGGTCTAAAGCAAGAATAAAGGTACCTCAATGAGTTGGTCGAAATTGGATTTCAGTAAGTTGATCTTACGCTCGCAATAATCTTTGCCTTCAGCCATAGTTTTCTGGAAAATGAAATTCCAATGCAAAACAAACAAGGGAAAATTAGATCATACTCCAGCTGATTGAAGAAAGCAATAAATCAGAGAAAAAAAATATCATATCAATAAACAATAAAATATAGACCTCAACGAAGTATCCAGTGCCGATATCGACGAGAACCTTGTCGGCATCGTCAAGTGTTCCCGGAACATAGAGCGAAGCAGTGAGAGGAACCAGCATTTTCTTCCCTAAAGAAAAAAAAAATTATCAAAGCAAATATTGTACTACTAAAAAAAGTAAGTGAAATAAGGTGATTTGATAGAAGATGGATGAATGATGGACCTTGGGGGCGGAGGGAAAGGTCGTGGAGGGCGGCGGAGGCGTTCTCTAGGCGGCCGGTGGCGGTGCGGATGTTGTTGAGGCTGTCTTGTAAGAGATTGACTTCAATATCAGCTTGTTCTTTCACTGCTTTGAGCTGATCCAAGCTCATCTTATCCAAGTCCGCCGTTCTAATCACTTGCTGGCTTCCTGCTCCCCTTGACGACGCCATTATTTTTGCTTTTTCTTTCAGCTAATCGTACCCTTTCTCTTATATTGAAAAATGAATTCGAAATTTTAGATTAAATCACAAATCCTAAATCTCCCCAAACCCTATTCCATTAATTAGAAAGAATAGTATACCATTAACCCGTATTATACATTATCATTGAAAAAATAATAGGGTAAATTACGCATTTAGTAATTAAACTATCAATTTTTAAAAAATCATATCTAAAGTTTAGTTTTTATTTCATTTTAGTACTCTATTCAAAATTTAAAGTTAAATTTTGAAAAAAATGAAAGTTTAGGTACTAAAATGGACCAAAATTAATATTTTAGGTGCTAAACGCGTTAATTTTTTAATGACATGTATTAAAATGAAACAAAAACTAAACGTTAGGCATGATTTTGAAAAAAATTAAACGTTAGGTATTAAAATGGATTGAAATTGATAGTTTAAGTACTAAATGCATAATTTACCCCCAAAAAATTCATAAGTAATGTATAGAAAATATTAATTATTTTCTAAACTATATTTAAATCTTTTAAAAATAGATTATAAAATCCTTAATATTTTTAAAAAAAAATTACAAGTGATTAGTTTTTTTTGACTAATACAAATGATTAGTTAATATAATAAAATAAGTCCACAATATCTTTTAAACAAACATTAAATTCAATTTAATAAATCTTTATAGAACTTAAATCAAATGTAAATAATTTTATAAATAAACCATTAGTTATTATTTTTATTTTCAATTATATGTAATTTTTTAAGAAGTGAAAGTTCTTCCTTTTATTTTGTATATCAATTTTAAGAAGTAAAAGTTACAAAATGGTCCTTTGATTATAGAATGTTTATTTGTTAAGTCCATCAACTATAAGAAATTATAAAATGATCACCAAATTATTCATTATATTCCAAGATCGTCCTTTTCTATTAAAAAAATTGACTGTTCTCTAAGCTGGACGTTAATATGATGATCGAATATGATAGTCATTTGAGATCTTGGGATCATATTTTATTATATCACAATCAGCATGTTAGCATTCAGCTAGAATATCGTCAAATTTTTAACGAAAAATGATGAGTTTGAAACTTAATGAATAATCATGTAACAATTTATAACTTTTAATAATCAAGGGACTTAATAAAACAATACTCTATAGTCGGAGGACCATTTGTGCACTTTACCCTAAACTAAAATAGAAACGCAAACATTTCGAATTTGAATTTTATAAAGGAGATAGATAAAATTATATAATAAATAATAGACAAGTTAATAATATTTGACAATTAAATCTTAGTTTAATCATTATTAGTATTACAGTAACTTGGGTAATGTAGAATTTTTTTAATATCATAGATTAAACGTACTTTACCGTAAAATTAACTCGACACATAAGCTTCAAACTATCTTCAAAATGTAACCACAGGTTGGGGTGTTCCCCTACACTTAATTTAGCATATCCATGTTCAGGGGCGGACCTCCATGATGCCCGGGGTATCCCGGGCAACCCCTCATCCAAGGGCGGACCTCCATGGTGCTCGGAGTATTCCAAACAACCCTTCCACAAGTGTCACCCCTAATACAAGTGTCACCCATAAAAAAAGCCACTCCTGGGGCTCTTGAAACCCCTGAATTTTTGTCCTGAGTCCGTCTCTGTCCATGTTATGCATAAAATCGACCATCTCCATGTTATGAATCAAATAACTTACACAAAAATCAACATAAAATAACTAAATAAGATTGCATTTATAAAATAGTTATCACAAACTTATTTTGAACAAAAAGAGAAGAAGAAAAAAACATTTTACTTATTTTAATTAAAATTTCTAATCATGCTATTAATTTCATGTTTAAATTTGTATCAACTTTTTTTTTAAATCTAAAAGGAAAAAAAAGAGGCAATATAATAAACCACACAATCCATAATACAACAATGAATGAACATAGTAAATGAAACTATCATAAATAACCAAAGCTGTAAAACGTTCAAATGTATGTATATGTAAAATCTCAAATACCAAACTATAACTTCCTTAAAATGTATGTAACCAAACTAAAGCTTATTTCTCCATTTTTACACATGAACTCTGCTTTCCCATATTCGAAAGAACCTAATTTGTCACCATCCCCCGCATGTAAGAAATAGCTGATGTTTCACTGTACTTCATGCCAATTATAAAAATCTCAGTTAGGGTTCCATTACACAAATGATCCAACAAATGTACATTCAAATTGAACACGAAAATGCAGGGAATACGATATAATTCATATCCGTGATGATATATTCGGGCATAGACACAGAATATGTTCCTCTTGAGGACCATTCACACACAAGAAAAAACCAAACACGCGCATGACAAACAGATACTCATATCAGACACTTGAATCCAAACACAAGTGCCATAACTAGCAATATACTTGATGAGACAAGAAACCCCAAGTTCTGCAGATTTTTCCTCCCATTCTAGTGGTTAAACAACAAATAACCTATCTATCTTTCCATCTAACAAAACATACATAGCACTTGAAAATATGGAACTTTGAAGACAAGAATCGTACATTTTACTATTTGAAAATTTTTACTATCAAACTCATAACTTAAAGCTATTTTTCAGGACAGTATCCTACACCAAATACTACAACACCCTATACGCATTTGAACATGTGAACCGGCGTAACATAACTCATACCTGTTGCACCCGTATACCAGCATACTACACTAAATTTATCAAACAAATGGTAAAAGTCCTAAAAGACTACAATAAATTTATCAAAGAAGTGACAAGTCCTAAGACACTAATAAAGCAACATCAAGTTGATGAAAATTCGATAAGCTCATTATATTCTGCATATTCCTGCAAAGTTCTTTGCCAAAACAACAATAGGCAAGCTTCATCTATTTAACTGGTAAAATAATTTGACCATCATTGAACACCGTATATGATGAAGCACATGAAAATGAACTATAGTTCCAATATTCAACAACACAAAATTGAAACCAACATAAGGACAAAGAATGGCATGAGAGGAATACTCACGATACTCAATCCAAACCTTCTTGCCTGGGTTCGGGATTATCACCTGAGCCACGACTCCCGAAAGGCCAGGGCAGCGATATCCTAAAACTCCTTTCTACAATCCGATTATCCCCTGTTGAGCTCTGCACACTACTAGCAGCAGCGCTACCGCTGCCATCACTACCACCACGAGTGCCAGGTGCCCCACGAACCCTCCTCTCATAATCAGGTGTTAAAAGTTTCAAAGTTTGGCAACCAACTTTGGAAAATGTTTTTTTCAAAGTTTGGTAAATGTTTCTTTGAAAAATGTTTTTCAAAGTTTGGTAAAATTTTGGTAGATGTTTGTTGAAAATAGGAATGGGTAAATTCACTTTAGTCATTGCACTTTAGGGTATTTTCAAAGATTAGTCCCTAAGTTTCTACTATAAATACCCTTACCCATTTAGCTTCAAAATCATCCCAAAACATTTCTTTCTTCCTATACTAGAGAGCTTTCTTGTGAGTAGTGAGTGTTTTGTAAACACCTGTAAATTTTCTCTCTTAGTAAAAGATCTGCAGCAGCCCGGAGACGTAAGCACAATTGGCTGAACTCCGTTATCAATTTTCGGGTATTATTTTTCCGCTTTTATTTCGCATTCTCACTAATCTGGTTATAGGGAAATTACTTGTACTCGGTTTATTTTCCTAACAACTGGTAATCAGAGCTTTTGGTTGTGAATTTTGTCAAATTTTCTGCGAGGTTACTATTCATTACTATTCACGTGAATAGTGAATTTCGTGAATAGTGAAATTCGGTCGGCGATACGAGTTTGTCGACGGTGGTGTTCTAATACACAGTGATTCGCAAGAATTGTCAGAAACGATCCAAACGAAGCCAGATTCGAGTGGGAGCGATGGCTGCAGACGAAGGGAAGGTGAAAATTGAAAAGTTCGATGGTGCGGACTTTGGCTTTTGGAAGATGCAGATTGAAGATTTTTTGTACCAGAAAAATCTATATCAACCTCTCTCAGGAAAGCAACCAGAGGGCATGAAGGATGAAGATTGGGCTCTTCTCGACAGACAAGCCCTCGGAGTTATCCGACTGACGTTATCCCGCAATGTTGCTTTTAACATAGCAAAGGAAAAGACCACGGCGGGTCTTATGGCGGCTCTCTCCAGTATGTACGAGAAGCCATCGGCCTCAAACAAAGTTCATTTGATGAGGCGATTATTCAATTTGCGGATGACGGAAGGGGCATCGGTGGCACAACACCTAAATGAACTCAACACAATCACAACCCAGTTGAGTTCAGTGGAAATTGAGTTCGATGATGAAGTTCGAGCTTTAATTCTCTTATCATCTCTACCAGACAGTTGGAATGCTACTGTTACAGCAGTCAGCAGTTCGTCGGGAAACAGCAAATTAAAATTTGACGATGTTCGGGATCTGGTACTGAGTGAAGAAATTCGACGGAGAGAATCGGGTGAAGCATCAACCTCCTCAGCCTTGCACACGGAGTCTAGAGGAAGAACTTCAGAAAGATATTCAAATCGTGGCAGATCAAAATCCAGACGGGAAAAATCTAGAACGGGAAAGAAAGATTTTACCTGTTATAATTGTGGCAAGAAAGGTCACTTTAAAAGAGATTGCCGAGCACTGAAGAAAGATACCGGTGCACAGGAATCTGCCAACGTGACAGAGGAGACAGGTGATGCCATGATTCTAAGCGTCAACAGTCCGATTGAATCATGGATCTTGGATTCAGGGGCATCTTTCCACTCCACCCCATGCCAAGAAATCATGGAGAACTATGTCAGTGGTGATTTTGGGAAGGTTCATCTTGCTGATGATGAAACCTTAAAGATCGTCGGAAAAGGAGACATCCGACTAAAGTTGCCAAACCAGACCACCTGGAAGCTGACAGGAGTGAGACATATTCCTGGCCTCAAAAGAAATCTGATTTCTGTTGGACAGCTTGATGGAGAAGGATATAGCACAACCTTTTCAGGCTGTGAATGGAAGATTACCAAAGGAGCACTCGTCATTGCTCGTGGTAAGAAGACTGGTACTCTCTATGTAACCTCCAATTTAGAGAATATCATTGCAGTAGCAGATGCTGATGGAAAATCAAACCTATGGCACCAAAGGCTCGGCCATATGAGCGAGAAAGGGATGAAGACACTTTTGTCAAAAGGGAAGCTGCCGGATCTAAAGAATGTAGATGTCGGACTATGCGAGGATTGCATCTTTGGCAAACAAAAGAAAGTCAGTTTTGCAAAGATTGGCAAGACACCCAAGACAGAAAGGTTAGAATTGATTCATACTGATGTATGGGGACCATCCCCAGTTCCATCTCTTGCAGGCTCACTATATTATGTCACCTTCATCGATGATTCAACAAGGAAGGTGTGGGTTTATTTTCTGAAGAAGAAATCAGAAGTCTTTGATACCTTCAGAAAATGGAAGGCCATGGTGGAAAATGAGACTGGTTTGAAAGTCAAGCGGTTGAGGTCTGACAATGGAGGAGAGTACAGAGACAGTAGATTCAGAGATTTCTGTGCAAACAATGGGATCAAGATGGAGACAACAGTTCCCAAGACACCGCAACATAATGGTGTAGCAGAGCGCATGAACAGAACTCTGAATGAACGTGCCAGAAGTATGAGGATACATGCCGGCTTGCCCAAATTTCTATGGGCTGAAGCAATCAACACTGCAGCTTACTTGATCAACCGTGGGCCCTCAGTTCCTTTGGATGGCAGAATACCAGAGGAAGTTTGGAGCAAGAAAGAAATAAACCTTTCACACTTAAGAGTGTTTGGTTGTATTTCTTATGTACACATAGACTCTGCTGAAAGAAGTAAGCTTGATGCTAAGTCCAACAAATGTGCCTTTGTTGGTTATGGCGGTGATGAGTTCGGTTACCGGTTTTGGGACTATGAAAATCGGAAGATCATCAGAAGCAGAGACGTCATTTTCAATGAAAATGTGATGTACAAAGATAGATCAACCGCAGAATCAAGTAATACCGAAGCTGAAACAAAGGAATTTGCTGAGTTCGAGGAGATTTCTGGAAATGATGTTCAGATCAATCCTGAAGCAGTTCAAGAAGAACCAGGCACACCAGAACTGAGACGCTCCTCCAGAATTCCTAAACCAATCCAACGGTATTCTCCTTCTTTACACTACTTGTTGCTGACTGACAATGGTGAACCAGAGTGCTATGATGAAGCAATGCAAGTGGAGGATTCAGTCAAGTGGGAGTCTTCCATGAAAGATGAGATGGACTCGCTTATGTCAAATCAGACATGGGAATTAGCTGAATTACCACCAGGCAAGAAAGCGCTCCACAACAAGTGGATTTACAGGATCAAAGAAGAGCACGATGGGAGCAAACGCTACAAAGCAAGATTGGTTGTCAAAGGCTTTCAGCAAAAAGAAGGTATTGACTACAATGAAATTTTCTCTCCAGTCGTAAAATTGTCTACAATCAGACTGGTGTTGAAAATTGTAGCTGCAGAGAATTTACATCTTGAGCAGTTAGATGTAAAGACAGCTTTCCTTCATGGTGATTTGGAGGAAGAAATCTATATGAGGCAGCCAGAAGGCTTCATAGAGGCAGACAAGAAAAACCTGGTATGCAGGTTGAAGAAGAGCTTGTATGGTTTAAAACAAGCTCCTAGACAGTGGTACAAGAAGTTCGATAGCTTCATGAGTAGCAGTGGTTTTATCAGATGCCAAGCAGATCATTGTTGCTACATCAAAAGGTTCGACAACAGCTTCATTATTTTATTATTGTACGTTGATGACATGCTCGTTGCAGGCTCAGACATGCAAGAGATTATACACTTGAAGCAAAAATTGTCGAAGCAGTTTGCTATGAAGGATCTGGGCGCTGCAAAGCAGATTCTTGGGATGAGGATCAAGAGAGACACAAAGTCGGGGACTTTGATGTTATCACAGGCTGAGTACATCAACAAAGTACTCTCCAGGTTCAACATGCAAGATGCTAAACCAGTAAGTACACCTTTAGGTGTTCATTTCAGACTCTCCAAAGACCAATCACCAAAGACGGAGGAAGAACGTGCACACATGGTGAAGGTGCCGTATGCCTCAGCAATTGGAAGTCTGATGTATGCCATGGTTTGTACCAGACCAGATATTGCTCATGCAGTGGGAGCTGTTAGCAGGTACATGAATAATCCGGGCAAGGTACACTGGGAAGCAGTCAAATGGATCCTCAGATATCTTCGTGGTACCACAAACAAAGCACTTTGTTTCAAAGGTGGAGATATGATACTGACAGGCTATGTAGATGCTGACTTAGCCGGAAATGTCGACATCAGAAGGAGCACTACAGGGTATGTCTATACTCTAGGAGGAACTGCAGTGAGTTGGGTTTCTCAACTACAGAAGATAGTTGCTCTCTCCACAACTGAAGCAGAATATGTCGCTGTTACGGAAGCCAGCAAGGAGATGGTTTGGCTCCAAAGTTTCTTGGAAGAGTTAGGCAAGAAACAAGAAAACAATATCTTGTATTGCGACAGTCAAAGTGCTATCCATCTAGCAAAGAATCCGTCTTTTCATTCCAGGACAAAGCACATACAATTGAGATATCATTTTATCCGGTCTCTTCTGGAAGATGGGATTTTGAAACTTGAAAAGATTAGTGGAGCTCAAAATCCGGCAGACATGTTGACAAAGACGGTGACTACGGACAAACTGAAGTTGTGTTCAACTTCAGTTGGCATGCTAGAATAAATAGACCAGACATGCTGCTGCATTGATCGAGGTGTGAAGACATATTAAAATCAGTCTTCAAGTGGGAGATTGTTAAAAGTTTCAAAGTTTGGCAACCAACTTTGGAAAATGTTTTTTTCAAAGTTTGGTAAATGTTTCTTTGAAAAATGTTTTTCAAAGTTTGGTAAAATTTTGGTAGATGTTTGTTGAAAATAGGAATGGGTAAATTCACTTTAGTCATTGCACTTTAGGGTATTTTCAAAGATTAGTCCCTAAGTTTCTACTATAAATACCCTTACCCATTTAGCTTCAAAATCATCCCAAAACATTTCTTTCTTCCTATACTAGAGAGCTTTCTTGTGAGTAGTGAGTGTTTTGTAAACACCTGTAAATTTTCTCTCTTAGTAAAAGATCTGCAGCAGCCCGGAGACGTAAGCACAATTGGCTGAACTCCGTTATCAATTTTCGGGTATTATTTTTCCGCTTTTATTTCGCATTCTCACTAATCTGGTTATAGGGAAATTACTTGTACTCGGTTTATTTTCCTAACATCAGGATCATCCGTAGGCAATTCATGACGACACACAGGGCACGAATTATGCAATTCCAGCCACGGAAATAAACAATCTTTATGATAAAGATGCTTACAAGGCATTTGCATCGCTTGAGTCCCTTCCTCGAACTCGTCCATGCAAACTGCACACTGGTTGAACTCCGAATTCAAGTGATTCTTCGTTATCTTCACCGACGGTAGAGCATCCATAGCTGATTTCGATGCCGGCGGCGTTCCATATCTATTCGGGTCATTCTCAGCAAGCTGCTGGATCAGTTGCTCGAGTCCCGGTCCGATGAAATAATCCCCAATGTTAGCTGGAAGCCGAAAGCCCGGCTCAGACGAATTATTTTCAATCACAAACTGGATATTCGCCCCACTCGAACGGAGATCGTTAAGATGATTCTGGAAGAAGGTAAACGGATCGAAGGCGACCGGGTCACCCCGACCTGACCGCGACGACCCGAATACATTAGCGGTGCTACGGTCAGCGGAAGCCGGGGATGATGAAGATAAAAGGAGGGGTAGAAGGGCAGAGAACGGATCCGGTAACGATGAATGGAGATCGTCAAACGGAATTTGACCCGGATTAAGGAAGTCGAAGCCGGAATTAGGGTTAGGGTTTTCGTACTCTTCGAGGAAGCCGTCATTGCATAAGGGACAAGAAGGGTCAGAGGAAGGGGAGATTGTTACGGTGACGGTACGGTTACATTGGTAGCAAAAGAAATCTTTGTCGGTTACCAAGGCGATAGCGGGGCCGGTGACGTTCCCGGTGTACGACATGTTTTCACGAATGAGAGAGAGAGAGAGAGAGAGAGGGAAATGTTAAGTCTGAGGGTTTTTCTGAAAAATAAAAATATTTATATTGTGAGACACATTTTACATTTTCTTCAAAGAGTCTTCTAGCAAATGCATGCGCTTTCCAAACTAAAATTTTAAGGGTAAATTATATGTTTAATTCCTGAACTATTAGTTTTGATTAATTTTAACAATTAAACTTTTAATTTTTTAAAAGCATATTTAACGTTTAGTTTTTATATCGTTTTAGTACCTTATTGTAAAAAACTTAATGTGGAACCTCTTTTATGGGTAAATTACATTATTCATCACTCAACTATCTTCTCACTACTATTTTGGTCACTAAAATTTAAATTTTTTAAATTTAATTACTTCAATTTTAAATTACTCCTAATTTAATCACTATAATTTTCAAATTTATTTTTTATTTTTAATTATATATTAATAAAATAATAATAAAGGTGGTATAACACAAAAATTATTAATAAAATAAAGGATAAATTATGTGTTTGTAACCTAAACTATTAGTTTTGGTCAATAAAAACTTTAGTTTTTGCTTCATTTTAGTACACCCCTTCAAAATTTAACGTTAAGTTTTGAACATATTGAATGTTTAGGTACTAAAACAAACCAAAACGGATAGTTTAGGTACTAAACGCGTTAAGTTTTGAACAGTGAGGTACTAAAATGAAATGAAAACTAAACGTTAGGTATAATTTTGAAAAATTGAAAGTTTAGGTACTGAAACATAACAAAAATGATAGTTTAGGTACTAAATGCATAGTTTACCAAAAAAATTAGTGACTAAAATATGAGCAGTATAAAAGTTGAGTAGTTAAATTGAAAATTTTGAACTTTAGTAACAAAATAGGAGTGAGAATATAGTTGAATGATAAAAATGTAATTTACCCATAAAAAATGCAGCGCGGTTAAGTTTTTAAGACAAGGTACTAAAATGAAACAAAAATTAAACATTATATATGATTTTGAAAATATTAAAAGTTTAGGTACTAAAACTGATAGTTTATCTATTAAACATATAATTTACCCTAATTTTAAAAATATATAACTTTTGCAAGTAAAAAAATCATATTAAATTAAAAGTAAGTTTATGTTTACTTAAATTCTAATAAAATTATTTAATTGTATGGATGGAATTTTTTTTAATAGATAAAATTATTTAATATTAAACATTTTTTATTCAAAAAAATATTAAACATTTTAATCTATAAATAAAAAAATTTAATAACAAAATTCGTTTAGAATAATTAAGTAATTGAGTATATATATAATTTAAAATGAAATTTTCATATAAAGTGAAGTTGTAACTGATAAAAATATTAAAGAATATAAAATTAAATCTTACATAAGATAAGAAAAGAAAATGACGATGGTTTATGTAAAATTCTCTTTTTTTGTTACTGCTAGTTATCCATAATGCGTATTGTCACTATTAATGTTTGTCGGTCTAATCTAGTAGGTTCGTGATAATTATGTTAAGGTCATTTTGAAAATTTTATCAATCAAAATGATTTTAGATAATAAGTTTAATAAATATTAATAATTAATATTTTTGTGTCGTCTTATTTTCTTTAACTTTTTTTTTTAATATTTTTGTATTATCTTCTTTTCTTTCTTTGTTTTTTTATTTAGTCTGTAACGACATTAATCTTAATATTAGTTGTCAGTTGTTGGTGTTTTTTATTTTTCTTAATTTTTTTATATTATGTCTTTTTTTTATTGAATTTTTTCACTTTTAATTAAAATTTTGTGTTCTTATGACATGTTTTTCTCTAATATTGTGGCATGTTTTTTTTTCTGCTCTTGTGACACTTTCCTTATGGTTTTCGGTAAGTTTTTCACATATTTTTGCGGTCATGTTGGTGTTTCTACAAAGATCATCACGATATTTATTTTCTGATTGGCTTGTTGGTGGTCATGTATTGTCATATTCCCACTTTTGTAAATGGTCGTTTGTCGATATAATCATAATTGTGTAGCGAATCAATTTTCTTATTGTGTTTTGACTAATTATGAATTGGTATTGCAGGTGAACGTGCCTACGACCAAGAAGACTTACTGCAAGAGCAAGGAGTGCAGAAAGCACACCTTGCACAAGATTACCCAATATAAGAAGGGTAAGGGTAGTTTGGCCGCTCAAGGGAAGCGCCGTTACGACCGCAAACAGTCCGGTTATGGTGGTCAGACCAAGCCCGTTTTCCACAAGAAGGTAACTTTTTTGGCACTTTCTTTTTATCCCCTAAATTTGTTAATTATACAAGGAAAAGGTCAATTAGCTTCTGCTTTGTTTTCTTGTGGCGTAAGTTTAGTTCATTTTGGTTATTGTTATTTTGTATCCGGACTTCTCGTGACTTTTGGCCCTTGGGTATGGATATACATCCAACATAGGCATGCTCAGATAGGTTCATATATTTAGAGGATATTCCCAGATAATATACACTATTTCTCTAGACCCCAAGTGTTTGTATTATACGACTATGTATCCTTTTTGCAGGCAAAGACCACCAAGAAGATTGTGCTAAGGCTGCAATGTCAGGGTTGCAAACATGTTTCTCAACATCCGATCAAGGTTAGAATTAGAACATTGAAACTCTCCTGCTGTTCTATTTCGCTTTATATTTTAGCCATCTTGTTTCCCGAGCTGATTTCTGTTGATTCGATGTCGGTTTTCGCAGAGGTGCAAGCACTTTGAGATCGGTGGGGACAAGAAGGGGAAGGGAACATCTCTTTTCTAAACGTGTTATCATATATCATGTGCTTTGTTAGTTTTACTTTGCTGCAGTTGTTGGAACGGAAAGCAATATAGAATTTTGTTGAGTTTGGTTTTACTTATGACATCTGTTATTGTCACAATTAGCAATTTTTTGAATTTGATTGCCTTCTATTAGTTATTAGTTTAAAGATTAATTTAGAAGAGGTCTGTAGTTTGGTGATATCTTATACAATTATCTCACTTTCTTTAGTAAGTTAGAAATTCAAATCCAATTATGAAATTTTAATATAAATATAAAACATTAATATAAAAGAGAATAATGCAAATAAATTGTGTATTTATATAAATACATATACTCCTCAAAGAGCTAGCAGTTAGGGGATTCAATTGTAGCAAAGAACATGATATGTCGATGTGAAAACGATGAAGGCGACTGGGGCTAATCAAGTGCGGCTTTGTTTTTATGACCAGATACTGGATTCGACAATCCGTCAAAAATCGAGGTGGTCGAAAGTACTTGTAAATCCGGCTTTAAACTCCATTTCGATGCTGGCCATATGGATGACAAACCAGTACAACTGTCCGGATCTTGCAAACACGGCGTGCTCGTTGATCTTTTCACTGCCGAAAGTTCATGAATCACGTAACCGTCTCCAACACCTGTCGTTGTGGGGCTGAACTCCATCTCGTTATCGACTAACAAATTACTCCGGCTTCCTGTTTTGGATCTCAAAGCCAAGCCTTTCGACGCTATCGTGGAAAATCCTCTACCGCTTGTGTTATCATCGAACACCTTCGCAGGCCTATGAGCAAAAAAGTCGGCTTCGGATTTCGGCCGCCTTCTGAGCTGTTTGTCTTTCGATTTATCGTGTTCACCTTCTTTAGCTTCTCCAGGAGACATGATATAAGCTCTGAGTTTATCATTGTCATTAAAAAATCCATTAGCTTCACTTCTACAATTCCGGCGAAGCTTCAAAGGCAGGTTGCAAGCAGAAGAGGGTTTCATGAATGGACCATCCCCAACACAATTAACTTCTACTTTCCTGTATACTGCCATCTCGAAAGCGTCGGATATCGTATTTATCTTTGTTTGTTTAAGGCCATAAAAACCTTGCAATGAAGTCATTGCAAGGGAGACCCTTGGAGGAGTCGTTTTTGGCCTTAAAGACTGGAATGAGTCAAGCAAATCAGGAGGCAAATCTCGCGCAGGGCTTCGGTTTGCACTGCTTTGTCTGCAAAAAGTTATGAGACAGTAATTTTCTGAAAAGCACTTTTTCTAAGGTGTAATCAAACATTCACATAGTAATTTTTACATGGAAGTAAGTGGCAGCTCATTCGAATCAATGGGAAAAGATTTTATACATCCACCAAGAACATTTGCTTAAATGGCTGAGCAATTACATGTTTTAAAAGTTGTTTTATAGTCATTAAGAACACAGCAAAAGACGAAAATTTCTTCATGATCAAAAAGAAAATGTAGTGAATGCACTTTATTACTTCTTTGCAATATGATCATCTACTTTAAGCTTCTCACTACATTACTGCATATAAAGAAGCAAGTAAAACCTGCATCCATGGTTTGAGAAAAGCATACCCAGAACTAACAATCCGGGTCAAAATCATAAGAAAACATGATTTATCCTGCATATAGTTGCTCGAATCCGAATTACTTAGAGATAATAATATTCCCTTTAACACTGAAACTCCTCTTTAGATCCAACAGTCCATATAACATTTAGTATTAGAATTAAAGAGAAAAAAGGTACAATACCCTGGCATTTGGAAACCGTTTGACAAGCAAGGCGATGGCAGATGCCGCCCTGGTAAAGGAATCTGAATTGACTTGAGAGCAAACATTTGATGATCCGTAACCAGACCGTTCATCTTTCTTATGTCAGCTACCTGATTAATTCACACACACACACACACAAAAGGCAACATCAATTTATCAAATATATAAACATACCATAAATTACAAACTATAACGATAAAGAAGAAGAAGAACAATAAACAATTGCAGTTAATTCCTACATATTTGGGGAGTTTCCCCATATACAATAATACAAACATGCACGTTTACGAGAGAAAAAATATCACGGCATTCTAAAAACGATTGGAATCGTAAATGGTTACCTCAACGCCGTATTTGATGGCGACGCCGGCCAGAGTATCGAAACGGGAAACGGGATGTTCAATGAAACCGTCGCCTCGTGGCGATGAATCCGGCAAACCTTGATCGCTCTCTTTCTCGAAAACACTGTCGTTGTTGTGGGATTTACTATAACTCCCATCCGTGTTGTAACTGTTATCTCCATTTATGATGCTATCTCCCCGCTCTCTTCCCATCAGCAGATCCAAAGAGAGGGGAAAATGGTGAAATGGAATTAAGTTGGAAATTAAACGTATCGGGAGTTCCCTCCAGATAGTTTTCTCTGCTTGCAGGAAAACAATGACAAGAAATACTTGCAATATAAATAGTGAAAATTACAATAATATAGATATATAAAAATAATTACAGCGTGGAAAATTTTAAAAAAAATAAATGGAAACTTTTTAGGTTTAAATAATTTTTTTCTGTTATTTATCCAACTCCAGGACGTTTTAAAGTTATTTTTAAATAATTTTAATTCTTATATAAAAAAAATGAAGATATTATAATTAATTAATGACTTAAAATGATTAAAAAATGCAAAATAAGTATATAATTTATATGCAATATACGAATTAATGAAAATTTTAATTTAATAAATTTTATAATTATTATAATTAAAATCTTAAAATAATAACAAATAAAAATAGGGTAAAGAACATAAATGGTCCCCTGACTATAAGGTATTGTTTTATTAAGTCACTCAACTATTAAAAGTTATGAAATGGTCCTTCGACTATGAAGTGTTGCTTTGTTAAGTCCCTCGACTATTAAAAGTTATAAAATTGTCACTTGACTATTCATTATGTTCCAGACTCGTCCTTTTTTGTTAAAAAATTGATTGTTGTTTAAGGTAGATGGTATATGATGACTAAAATATGATAGTCGTTTGAGATTTTAGTATCAAATTTTATCATATGACGATCAATAAAGTAACGTTCAGCTCAAAATATCGTTCATTTTTAACGAAAAATGACGAGATTAAAACATAAAGAATAGTTAGTTGTTTATTTTGTAACTTTTAATTGTCGAGAAACTAGACAAAACAACACTCTTTAATCGAATGATCATTTTATAACTTTTAATTGTCGAGAGACTTAATAAAGCAACATCCTATAATCTGTTATTTACCCATAAAAATAAGTCTAAATCTTAAGATTTTCGCCCTTTAACGTTTTTTTCATAGTCATCGTTTTCATTCCATTCCATTCCATTCGATTTTGTTTACATTATCATTTGAGCTGATGATATAAACGTACACGGTTCGGATGTGTTACAAAAGTGACAATACTAACTGAATTAAGTCTAAATCTTTGTCAGCTCAAATATTTATTTATCAGGAAGTTTGATGTACGTGCATGAATGAAACAGTAGGCACTATGCCTCAGCTGCTGCATTTCTTCTTGCCAATGCCAAGCTTGCTTGTCCCGGCGGCGAAGTTTGACCTCGAGAAAATCTCGGTTCCGTCATGTCTACCGCCACCGAATCCTCCTCCTCTGATTGCACAATCACTTCCTCCACAACCACCGTCATCTCTTCCTTGACGACCACCACCATCCCTACCCCCACTCCTCCTGCCACCTCTTCCACGGCTGGAATTCAATTTTCGGTTTTGTCTCATCCACAGACAAGGAACAATTATTTAGCTCTGATCCATTAAGACCTAGAGCTTCGTTCAAACTATCCTCATCTTTTAAATCCAAGTAAGCAAAGCTGGAATCGATTCCATATTGTTAAGACATTGGATAAGATAATGACAGCAAATTATGAGTCGAGAGAACAAAAACCAGAATGAACACTAAAATTTTACTTAGCATATCACCTGAGAAAACTCTAGGTACATATAACACTACATATATGTGTACAACCGAGCCAAAGGATATTCAGGTCACGATCTCTAACACTACATATATGTGTACAACTGAGCCAAACGATATTCAGGTCATGATCTCTAACACTACATATATGTGTAGAACCGAGCCAAACGATATTCAGGTCACGATCTCTAACACATATGATCAGATGTGGAATACAACATGAAATCACAAGATTACTTGCAAGATACTAAAATCCCAAGACATTACTCCGACTTGGGTGCTTAGTATATACACATGTACAACAAGGAAAATGAAATCACAGCAGCACATATTAAATTAACAACAAAGATCACGATGACCATAGATACAAACCCCTTCACAGCACCGGTATCCCGATCTACTGGTATCGTTGCCCTCGTAATCTCTTCACAAGAACCAAAGTGCTCTTCCAAGGAATTCTTTATCTGTAAATGGTTCAGACAGGGCGGATATATACGAATAAATTTCAAAGAGGAAAAGGAGAGAGCATTTATACCAAAGCACTAACCTCATCCTGACCAAGAGATTGATCGAACTCTTTGACCGATATAGTTCAAGACTCACCTTCTCCACCTTTCTGGAAGGAATTGTTCCCATTGCTGCAAAGAGAGTGCAGGAAAAAAAATACATTAAGCCAATCAAATACTAGATCAAGGGTCCAAAAGATAAAAATATATATAAGTACCAATTTATATATCGAGACAAGGGAAAATTACCCGCTGTACGGTGTATATTCACCCCTTTCATGAGTGAAATCAAGTCTAACAGAAGGATTCCAACCAGATTGAACAGATGAACGAAAACAAGCAATTGCCTTCTTTACATCCTAGTGATGCAAACACAGTTGATAACAAACATTTGCAGGAAAAAGAATAGAAACAGGAACTATATGAATGGGACATCATACCTCTTCATCGGATTCTTCCTCCGAGCTGCTACTTGATTCTGAGCTGCTACCACTGGAAGCAGTTTTAGCCTTTGCACTCTCTGGAGGCACATTTGTTGCACCACAACTTGGCAAAGTAACCTTTTGAGGAGGTTTCTATATGAGTATACATACAGTTGGTGGAATTACATAAATATCTAAATACCAGTCTATTATTATAAACCAAATTAACATGACTCAAAAGCTTTGCAACACATTCCAAATATTCAATTACTGCAGCATAGCTCACGACACTCACATGTTCATCCAAAGAGCTATCACTAGACTCCTTTCTGGTAACAGGGGTGGGTCCTTTCTTAGAATAAGGCTTTGATTTTTCCTGCATGTGAAAAGTTATTACATTTATAACTACAATCAAGAAAGCTCCCAATCAAATTGAAAAGAAACATCTAGCACTTACTTTGTCTTCATCTGAGCTGCTATCTTCATCGAAATTGTCGTCATATCTAGCAAGTCTTGCGCTATATCTAGTAATAGTCTCAATACTCACATCAATGTTGGAAGAAGAATCTGAACTGCTATCAGTTTTCACTGTCTTAGCATCTGGAACAGAGGCTTTTGTAGCAACGGAAGGTTTTTTATTCTGAGCAGGAGCTTCCTGGAAAGCCAAAACATTGAATGGTAAGCAATCATAAAAATAACATCTGCTACCATATAAAATAGTTACAAGAATGAGCGGAATATTCACTTCATTGGAGGATAAATCTCTGTCACTACTAGTCACTGAAGAATCTGAATATTTAGCTTGTTTTGCTTTCTTTGCAGGTACAGAGTCATTCTTCGAGATGGCAGGCCATTTCTTCACAGGAGCAGGTTCCTGTACGAGAAACAAATAACCATAAAGTAGGCAAAACAGATACAAACATGGCTTCACGTGCTTCATTTTTACAAGCACACAAATGTACTGCCTAGATACTGAAAGAGAGCTAAGAGCTTAAATCATCTAAGGAACCTATTCAAAACTAAACATATAATGAAAAGTGAACTATCAGAAAACATCGATATAGAGAGCAACAAATGCAGCATCATAAGTAAACCAATAATAGATTTTCGCATACATGATCGGAATCAGAAGAGACATCAACCAGTAGTGGGCTTTCGCATATGTAATTGGGATTGGAAGAGTCATCAGAAGAACTACTAGTTTTGTATATCTTCTTCTTCGTTGTCTTAGCTTCAGCCTTCTTCTTTACACTAGCCTGTGCTACACCAACGTTTTTCATCTGCCTTTTTGCAGCCATTTGTTTCTCAGGAGTTTTAGCAGCTGGAGCACAAGCTTTTGTAGCTACTGCAGGTTTTTTATTCCGAGCAGAAGCTTCCTGGAATGCCAAAACATTGAACATTAACAATCATAAAAACAACATCTGCAACCATACAAAATAGTTACAAGCATGGGAGTAAGATTCACTTTGTCGGAAGATAAATCTTCGTCACTACTAGAGTCTACTGAATTACTAGCCTGTTTTGCCTTCTTTGCAGGTACAGAGCCATTCTTCACAACGGCAGGCCATTTCTTCACAGGAGCAGGTTCCTGGAAGAAAAACAAATAACCATAAAGATGCAAAAAATATACAAACATGCGTTCATCTGCTCCATTTTTACAATCACACGAGTGTACTGCCTAGATACTTAAAGAGAACTTAGAGCTTAAATGATGTAAGCAACCAATTCAAAGCACAACATATAGTGAAAAGTGAACTATCAGCATACATCAATGTCGAGAACAACATAGCACCATAAGTAAACCAGTAGAGGGTTTGTGCATACATATTCAGAACTAGAAGAGTCATCAACCGGTAGTGGGCTTTCGCATATGTAATCAGAATCAGAAGAGTCATCAACCGGTAGTGGGCTTTCGCATATGTAATCGGAATCAGAAGAGTCATCAGAAGAACTACTAGTTTCATATTTCTTCTTCCTCTTAGCTTCAACCTTCTTCTTTACAATAGCCTGTGCTACACCGTTGCTTTTCTTCTGCCTTTTAACAGCCACTTGTTTCTCATGAGATTCTTCAGCCTCTCTCTTACCTATATATAATCATATAAAAATGATGTCAAACAAAAACCCACAGTTCCATAAACACAAAAACAACCTAAACTATTTTTTTGGGTTAAAATATGTGCCTAAAATATATCATCTTGTTCATCTAGATACTAAGATGGTATACTAAACTATGGTAATTTTAAGTATTTAATTTGACAAAAAAATATTGTTGATAATTAAAAAAAGATCGACATAGTTTAGGTATCAACTGTTGAATTAAAGCAAAAGAATTTTACCTTTCTTTCCAGATTTACGAGCTGCTGCAACCTACAAGAACAAAGGTCAACTATCCTTAAATTCTAGTTTTTTGGCTAATTTTCCGAGATCGAAGTAATTTCAGATGTTCAGTAATTGAATCTAGTGTTACCTTCCTTTTTTGCTTTCTCATGTGGAGGAGGACCGACGATTATGAGAAATAGAAGATTCCTTCGGTTTCTCGCCAGGCTTTACCTCGTTGTTTTATTTCTCGTTTAAATTATACTTCACTTTATTGCTTTGTCCGTTTACGTTGGTATTGTATAATTTTATTTAAGGGTAAAGTACACAAATGGTCCTCCACTATAAGATATTGCTTTATTAAGTCTCTCAATTATTAAAAGCTACAAAATGATCCTCCGAATGTAGAGTGTTGCTTTGTTGAATCCCTCAATTATTACAAGTTACAAAAATGGTCACTCAACAATTCATTATATTCCAAACTTGTCCTTTTTCGTTAAAAAATTAAGGGCATCCCGAGATAAACATTAACTTAATGACTATGATATGATAAAATATGATCTTAAATTTCAAACAACTATTGTATTTCATTCATCATGTTAACATCTAACTCAGGCAACTGTCAATTTTTTAATAAAAAATGACGAGTTTGGAACATAATGAATAATTGAGTGACCATTTTGTAACTTTTAATAGATGAGGGATTCAACAAAGTAACATTCAATAGTTAGGAGATTATTTTGTAACTTTTAATAATCAAATGACTTAATAAAATAATATTCTATAATCGGGGACCATTTTTATACTTTACCCTTTGTTTAAAAAATTTCATCTTGTTGTTAATAATTACCAGCTTATTTTAAAAATAAATTGAGTTTTTTCCCGAAAGTTAATTTTACGTTTTAATAATTAAAATTAGAAAGTAATTCTGGTAATAAATTATTATATGTAATTAAACCATCCAATCCATCATTTAGAAAGTAATTCTGACAATAAATTATTTTATGTAATTAAACCATCCAATCCATCGTTAAGAGTTTCAAGTTTCTTAATATTATGGTTAACTTTACTTTAGATAATTGAATTTTATTCTATTTTCTATTTTATTTATCGTATTTTAATTTTTTTAATTGCATCATATGTCCCTAATCCATAACCCTCATTTTAAATTGTTCCCTAAACTTTTAAACATTTCATTTTCATCCCTAAACTCTGACCATCATTTTAAATTAGTCCTTGAATTTTTTGACATTTTATTTTCATACCCAAATTGTGATCTTCATCCTGAGTTAGTCCCTAAACTTTTTGAATATTTCAATTTTATCCTAAATTATCGCATCGCTAAGCACATCTATTGTTAATAAAATCATTAAGCCAAGTTATATTATTATATGTTTGAAGAAAAATAAAATTTATGTTAAACTATGGTCGGAATGAATTGCATATTGGATGAATTTGGGGAATATATTGGAAGATCTGAAAGTTTAGGGACTAATTTAGAATGAGATTCATAGTTTGAGGATGAAATTAGAATTTCAAAAGTTTAAGGACTAATTTAGAATGAGAGTCACCGTTTGGAGATATAACAATTAACTCTAAAAAAATAATTTTTTTCATTAGATCTTATAAAACATTTTACTGAAAATGTAATGGACAAGCTATTTCGAAGATCGAAGGTCATCGTCAAACATAGATTCTTACACTGTGACGTCGATGATAGCCGAAACCACCATTCTATGGAAGCCTTGAAGAGCTTGAAATTGGATGCATTGACTGATTATACAATCTTGTATTTTCATTGCATTTAATTACAAAGTTGCGATTCGATTTGTCTAAATAGTTTTCTTTTTGTTGGTTTCTGTCGATTGATTGTTCGAACACATGAACTAAATAGTTTCTTAATAAAAGTAGTAGTTTATTTTTTTTTATGGTTATCCCTTTTAATTTTAAATTTTGGTAAAATTAAGAGTAGAGAACACAAGTTGTCCCCAAACTTTAGGGTACTACTTTATTAAATCTATTAACTATTAAAAGTTACAAAATGATTATTCGACTATAGATCGTTGTTTTTTGAGTCTTTCGACTGTGAAAAGTTACAAAATGATCACCCTCATTATGTTTCATACTCGTCCTCTTTCATTAAAAAATTATTGGTCGTTTGAGTTGGACGTTAATATGATGATTTGGATATGATAGTCGTTTGAGATTATAGGATTAGATTTTATCATATCGAAATTAGTAGGTTAACAATCAACTCATCATTCTGTCACTTTTTTTACTGAAAAAATGAGATTAGAAATGAATAATCGAGTGACCATTTTGTAACTTTTAATAGTCGAAAGACTCAACAAAACAACACTCTATAATCAAAAGACCATTTTGTAACTTTTAATAGTCGAGAAACTTAATAAAGTAATACCCTATAGTTGAAGGACCATTTATGTACTTTACCCAAAAATTAATTCTTTTAGAGGGGTATTCCGTTTTTTTATTGGTTCTAAAAATAAATAATTAATTACAACTTTGATACTTTTCATTTTATATATTATATTAATCTGAATACAATCTTAAAAAATTCAACACGTGATTCACATATTACATAAATATTTATTATTTTTTTTAAAGAAGAAACTAATTTTATTCAAAATATGAAATATCTCAAATTAGAATAAAGATTTACAATCACTATCGTAAATTAAACACATAAGTAGGAAAAATTCATATAATCATTGAAACAAAACTATAAACTTAAGATCATGTAAGGACCATATAAGGGAATATTAAATCTAACCAAAAGAATTCAAACAAAGATAGATACAAATAGATCTGATCGCATCAGCAAACGAACCACAAAAGGATATCATACTATTGAAAGACCACCGACAAATCGCAAAGTAGACTCGAGCGATGTGAAAAGCTATCCACGAACGTAAATCAATTATCCAAATCCAATCTGAGGGTCCAAAGTAGGGAAGATCAATAATATATCAGAATAAGCACTATCTTGATCAATCGTGACGATGTCAAATCAACCATTAGAAAAAAATAAACAAAAAACAGCCAAAGAACTGAAATGCCAAAAAACATAAGAAAACTTGTCATAAAGACAGATGAAAACGTGCAACATATGCATACTTATTGAAAATTAAAAAAAAAATAAAGAAACAATATAAAAAAGAAAAAGACAATAAGCAATCAACATTAAAATTGACGTCATCGTCGATTAAAAAAATTGAAAAATAAAATATATGAGCGTTACACCAATGAGAGAAACCTAATTTTTTTAAATATTTATTAAATTTGTTTATCTTTTAAGAGAAATGACAACATTAGATATGTATACGTTAATTACTAGCTTTGTTATTATATAAAACTATTAAATAACTTTTGACATAGTGATTAATTGTAATCAATTATTCATTTTACAATTATTCACTCATATGTAAAATTAAGCACTAATGATAAATTAAATAAATATCATTTTTTTATTGTTTCAAATCCCTTGATTTTGAGTCTTTATCCTTATTTATTCTTACCTATGACATGAAATGTTGACATTGTTCCATAAAATATCTAATTGATTTTATTATTGTGAAAATATTAAAATTCGACTACGAATGATTTTGATTTTATTTAAATAAATTAATGCATTTACTTGTCTTTAAAACTCTCAAAATAATTCTCATCTTTCTTTCCTTAAATTTATCATTAAATTTAATAAATACTAGTTATAATTATAATACAATAATTTTACTATTTGGCCCCATTTTTGACGCCCCTGCGGCCCCGCCACCCTGTGAAATGATACAATATTATCATTATTATCACATCCAAACTCCAAATGCGACATCGTATCATCAATGATAACCGGCCCCTTTGGCTCCATTTTCCTTCTCTTCCCTCGATTTCTCGTCTTTCCGTTTCGTTTCCTTTTCTGCGTTATGGAGTCTGGCCTCATCGCTGGATTCCTCCTTCGATCCTCAACACCGTCGTCAAAACATGAGGCGTTTCTTCTAGTCTTCCTTTAAACAGCGAGCGCCTGCTTTTGTTTCTCATTTCGGAAAAAAACGAAGAAGAAGGATACGAGCGTAGAGCAATGTCTCGCCAACCAGTTATTTCCCCTTTCCCCAAATCCAAAACTCTGGACAACAAATACGTATGTCAATTTCCATATTTCTATTTTTGTTTTCGTTTTTTTAATCCTCCTGTTATTATCCGTTCGTTCGTTTTAGAATCTCGAGAGAACGAACAGAAAATTCGAATTTTGAAATTTGTGCGAAAACGTTGTAGTTTTTTATTAAATAAAATGATTCGGATGCAAATTACTTTTCAATTTGTTGACGGAAAAAAGTTAATTTTGTTTTTTTTTAATTCTTCGAAATTTGGAAGCTAACTTTCTTCCCGCGATCATTTTTCTTCCTTATTTTTTTGTTAATTATTTACTGCAATCTTGAAGTTTCTGTGTTGTGTTATCTTTTTGAATAGATGCTTGGTGATGAAATTGGGAAAGGTGCATATGGGCGTGTTTATAAAGGCTTGGATTTGGAGAATGGGGACTTTGTTGCAATTAAACAAGTTTCTTTGGAGAATATTGTTCAGGAGGACCTCAATGTCATAATGGTTTGATTTTATATTTCTTTTATTTCTGAAATTTAACTGCTTAAATCAATATGTGGTTTTGCTAGTTCACTAGTATTGCCTGTAGATAGGATTTAGCCATGTTGGTCTGCACATTAGTAGTTATGTCCATCTGTTAAACTGCAGTCAGGTTCTGTCGCTTTCTACTACTTTTTTTGTTATAGGTTATACTATGTTTTCAGGCATTTTGATGGATGAAAGATTATTTGAAAATATATTTTTGGGTTGATCTGGTTCTTTGTTTTTATTATGTTTTCCATTAATTTTTATTTGACAAAAAGAAGCAATCTAACTTTGTTTTTCATGATACTCTATAGTCTGTTCCCTGGATATATAAAGCTTGATTTATTTTGATAAGCTTTTTTCGTATCAAAGCTACTTATGAATCGCTACACTTAAAAGTGTATTTGTCTTGATCACTTTCAAAAACCTGCTCATGTACATCAGTTACATCTTATTAACAGAAAATCTTAAGTGTAAGCAATTGGGAGTCTGGATTTTAGTATTTGAACATCTTCTCAGTACTTATTAATTGCTTTTAATGAATATGCAAATGTTTTCCAGGAGTTAATAAAATTGCCTTGTCCCAAAGAAATCTGCTGTTTTATTCAGAGGGCATTTATCATTCTAGTCCTTTGTTACTTTGTAGTTAACTTATATGTCCAATATTCTCTAAAAGTTAGGTGATAGACATGTACAATCGAAACAATTTTTTATTTTTTCTGTATTCATATTTGGTCCATAGGAATGCTACATTTGAAGCATGCATTTACTATTTCTAGTTTCAGTAGCCTTATGAGGCTGACAAGTTTCTTTTTTCTTTTGAATGATCTTGGCCGGTGGAATGGCTTAACATTGCAGCAAGAGATCGATTTATTGAAGGTAACTTTTTTAAGTATTGGTGCTTTTTGGACTTTTCCCTTGTTGTATTGCTACCTCAAATTGCTCACATGCATATCTGATGGATATCAGTTTTCTGTATGTGCACTAAAGATGTTTCACTGTCTGCTGGCTGTGTTGCAACTGTCTTGCCTAATCCCATTTTGCTGTTTTCCGGTCATCTTCCATTCTCCATGGTAGTTGTCTGCAGCTGGCTGGATAATGCTAATTAAAATTTGAAACTCTTTGCAGAATTTGAACCATAAGAACATTGTGAAGTATCTTGGGTCATCAAAGACAAAGACTCACCTGCATATAATTCTTGAGTAAGCAATCTTACATTGTGATTGGAGTATTCTCTGAGCTGTTAGGAACTTGTAGTTACTGCTTTTACATTTCCATAGGTATGTGGAAAATGGTTCACTTGCAAACATTATCAAGCCAAATAAATTTGGGCCGTTTCCAGAATCTTTGGTGGCCGTTTATATTGCTCAGGTTTGTTTTTATTTCTGTATTTATTGCTTCATTTTGCCGTAAAGTATCATTGAATATGCTACTTGTTAATCAGGTTTTGGAAGGTTTGGTTTATCTACATGAACAAGGTGTTATCCATCGGGATATTAAAGGTGCTAATATTCTGACGACTAAAGAGGTAACCCAACAACTATTTCTATATCCTTAGTGAGTTTTATTTACTATTTCAGGGTCATTTTTTAGTGATTATATTGTGATAAATTTGAGCATGGCGACAGAGATACCGTTTGACCTCCTTAATATTCGGCTATCTAGACAAGTTAAATTTGAATTCATATTGTTTCCTTTAACTTTGGCTAATTATGTGATGAAAAATATGCTAAGATAAATGAAATTGAATTGCTTTACTTTCCTTGAGTGAAACACCTGCAGAATGCTGAATTTTGGGCCATATTTTATTGCCTCACCTCAGGGTCCTTGGTTGTGCAGATTCATTATGTTTTATCTTCACAATTTTGTGTTCAGATTGGTTTTGATAGTTGTGCCGTTAGGTGTGGAGTGTGGACTCTCTTGGTTTCCCCCCCAACTTACCCTTGACTTAATTTCTCTTTTCAGGGTCTGGTGAAACTTGCAGATTTTGGTGTTGCAACGAAACTAAATGAGGCTGATGTTAACACACACTCAGTTGTTGGAACACCATATTGGATGGCCCCAGAGGTACTGATAATTGGAATGTGGCTATTAATTGTCTATCCTGTTACTTTTCTCCTGTGTTTGTTATTTTAGGTATATATTGGATGCTTTTCTTACAGGTTAAATTATATTTCAGGTGATTGAAATGTCAGGGGTTTGTGCGGCTTCTGACATTTGGAGTGTTGGCTGTACTGTGATTGAACTCCTTACATGTGTGCCTCCATACTATGATCTCCAACCTATGCCAGCTCTCTTTCGGATTGTGCAGGTTTGTCTATATCTGTGCAGTTTACTTTGTTCAATATATAATCATAAGAGTAAATTCTTCCTATCTGAGTTTCTCTGTTTCTTTCTATCCTTTATGGACCCTCCCTATTGTTCACATTCCATATTTGCATGTTTTTTTCACTGCTGGAGAAAGCTTTAGCAAGTTCATTTTTTGCCTTGTCTTAAATTGTTCTTCTTTATACATATACATGTGTGTTTTTTCAATATGTGTATCTTCCTCTCAGGATGAGCATCCCCCAATACCTGATAGCCTATCTCCAGACATCACTGATTTTCTGCGCCAGTGCTTTAAGAAGGTATGGAAGATGAATGAAGCTCCAACTTTGTAAATTATTGTCTGACCTTTCTAAAGCGTGTCATGCTGCTCATGCATGAGACAGACATGCTTGGTTTTGCAACGAATAGAATACTCTTAGTTATTAGTCAGGAAAGATCCATTTTGATGGGAATGAGACTTCTTTGGATCTTGTAACTTTGGCATCCATGAAGACCAAAAGCAACTGGTGACACTCTTGAAGTTATACAATGAGTAGTGAACATTCTTCTAGCCATTAGATCTTGAGATGGGAGCCACCATCAAGATGAAATAAAATTAACAAAATGGAAGTAAAATATAATATCTTGATAAATTTCATACTCATTGAAAGTCATGTGGCTAATAGAATATATGGCCTTCCATCTTTGTCCTTAGCTTATAAGATAACCACTCGAGTTTAGTGGACGTCAACCAATGTGATGATTGTTGCTGATTAGACCATCACAGATCTTGGAAAGTGATTCTTTTCTTGCTCTAAAATGGATCAACAGCCCGGAATTGTGCCCGGTTCTCTATGTTGACTTGATCAAAGAAATTCAGAAGACAGTGTTGCAGTTTAGTGTTTCTCTTAGGCATATTAGCAGATGTATTAATGGGGAAGCTGACTGTTTAGCTAAATCTGGAATAGGTTAGTGAGTGCTGAGGTTGTGGCTTGGTGAGTTTGGGGTTTCAGGGTTGTTGTAAGTCGGCTTTGTTTGTGTGTGTCGGTCTGGTTGTATTTCCTATGTTTGGTAATAAACTATGGGCACCCTTTTCCCTTGCCTTTGGTTATTGTGCTTTTTCAACACAATAACTAAGAATGGGGTTTTTAATGGGGCCTATTTCCTATCAAAAAAAAATTTGTTAACTTGTTAAATGAGGCTTCATTTATTTTTCAGGATGCCAGACAGAGGCCTGATGCAAAAACGCTTCTTTCTCACCCTTGGATACGGAATTGCAGACGTGCTTTGCAGTCTTCTTTGCGTCGTGGAACCATTAGGTATATATGCTACAGTAGGCGTGTGTAATGTATTTTGGGAGTTTCCTTGGGATTTTGTCAGTCTATGTGGTCTCCCTTATCACCTAGACACCTACAATAACTGATCTGATCGAATAATCAGAGTTCTGATTGATTTTAATCTAAACTATTTTTCACATCTATTTGTGTGCTTAGGATTTTTTTTTTGTTTTACAAGATATCTACAATTTGTTTTTGCTTTTTTATTCTTTATTTTAATCATGCAAACAATATATCGGTTGATGGATGTAATATTTATTTTACATATACATGCTTTGTTGTCAGCCTTACATCTTGTTTTACTCTTGCACTCTTCTTTGAGGTGTTTTATGTTGCCATATTTTGTTCTGAAAGCCAGAATGTAGTTCAATTTTCGTACTAAATTATGAGGACATATCTGCTTAAAAATATTTCTACTATAAACTTGCTACGCATGCTACAAGTGGCTTTAGCGTTATATTCATTTATATGATACGTTCCTTTGTTCTGACTTGGCATTAATATTGGCCTTTTTCCCTTCATATTTTAAGCAGCTCATAAAGATATTAAACACCCTACATTTTGCTGCTTTGCAGGGTTGACAACCCAATACCTTTTAACCATTTCACTTTGTGTTCTGTTTACTCCTATTTTATCTCATGATCATTTATTCCCTGGTTCTCTGTTCCTTGGTAGAAACATCACGGAAGATGTTGCAGCAGATGTAGAAACCTCTAATGCAGATAATAAGAGTACCGAAGAGAATCTTCCTGCGGAGAAAGTAGAGGCATCTGAATTAGTGAGAACTTCTTTGGCCTTTACCTTTTTTTGGTAGCAAGCCTTAGCTGAAGTTAAAATTTACAAGAGAAATATCTATCAAAGAAAATTTGAAATTGATAATGTTCAAGTGTTTTGAAGACCAATGTTTAGTTTTTCAGATAGACTGATGCAAGAGGATGTTGATTTTCTCGCATTAATGAATTAATCTTTTGATTGTCAGAGCTCTCGGAAAGAGGTATCGTCAACGAAGGCTACAGATCGAAGCAAGTATGATCATGATCATTCTGCAGATAATACTCCGAGTGAAGGAAGGATGAATAATTTAGATGATGATCTACAATCAGATCAGGTTCTAACCTTAGCCATTCATGAGAAACCATCATTACAGAGTAGTCCTGGTGGACTCTCTTTTAAGAATGTAGTGGCTGCCCTCAGTTCTGGTCAGAATAATGAGATATCACATCAAGATGAAGCGATGATGAATGGTAATGTTGGCTCACCATCAAGAGGGAAACATATGGAAAAAGGACAGAGAGGCAACAGGGATCAAATTGATAATGAGAATAAGTCATTGGTTTTTGTACCTATAACTCAGAATGCTGGTCTTCAAAAGGTAGTGCTTCATGCAATGGTGCTAGTTTCTGAAATAATTAAATTGTTAGATTTAAAATATTTATATTTGTTTCCCTTGAAGTTTCTGTTACGCACTGCTCAGACATTTCTATGCATGTTTTCATGTGAGTTCTAAGTTGCATGCTTGTATACTTGTATTGGTTGAATTATCTTGGTTTCTCTTACATCATGAACCATATATCTCTATGAAATATCTTCTCCACTTGTATGGTTTGGTTAAAGAAAAAGAAGAAGCTGTTCTTCTAGATTTTAAAGATGTACAAGGAACTTACCAGCAATTGCATATATTTTTGCATGTTTTCTTGTTGTTGCTTAGATCATATTTATAGTGATGGTTATAATGGTGAGTTTTCTTTTATGCCCTTGGTCCTCTTTTTCCTTTGGAGAATGTTTATTAGTGGTCCTTAAATTTCTGGATTCTTTGAAATATTATCTATGATTCTCTTTTGTAAATCCTCTATCAATTCTATGCACTACTTGTCACATTTTTTTTACCATTCACCTTTGTGACCTTTTTCGGTTTCCTTAATACATTTAAAAGTGGAATCTTACAATTTGACTCCTACATTTTAAGGCTGTAAAACCTTCAGTGACCTCAACTGGGAATGAGCTAATTAGATTTAGTGATCCTCCTGGAGATGCTTCCTTGGATGATTTATTTCATCCATTGGATAAAAACGTGGAGAGAAGATCAACTGAAGCTTCAACGTCTTCATCTGCATCAAATGTGAACCAAGGTATTGTGCCTGATACTGGAAAAAATGACCTGGCTAAGAAGTTAAGAGATACAATTGCTAAGAAACAAATGGAAGAGGAAATGGGTCAGTCAAATGGTGGTGGTAACCTGCTTCGCTTAATGATGGGTGTTTTGAAGGATGATGTAATTGATATTGATGGTTTGGTATGTTAAAAATAATACTTGCTCTGTATGTTTTCAGTGCAATGTTTATGTGATGCCATAAGACATGAACCTCATGATGTTTTCTATTGTTTATTGTGTTGTGGCCAGGATTTTGATGATAAATTACCCGCTGAGAACCTATTTCCCTTACAGGTACCTATCATCACTAGTAAATAGTGACTTAAATTCTTTTTTCTGTAATGGAATCCTCTTATATAACCTGTTTTTTCTTCTTCCAGTTGGGCAATGCACCTTTTATTTCAAAGTGTATTGAGGCTTTCTAATCTACTATTGTTACGATCCTTACTGTAGTTTGGCATCCCGATTCTAATACTTTATTAAAACTTTTATACTGCTCAGCATGTGCAGCATCTTGTTAGAGTTTTGTAATCATATCTATATTGATAGTTGTATTTTCAAAGCTTCTGACTACAACAGGATTTCGGTTCAACTTTGTAGGTTGCTATCATGATTTTTAATGTATACATGTGTCAAATTTATGTATCTGAATCTATCTTCATATTTCATCTCCAAAACACTACAAATTAAAAATTTTACTTCCTGCTATTCTTAAGAGAAGGTTTAGTTGTTCAAGGTTCAAGTTTCTTTTGGTTGCTTTTTTTTTTATAGAAATAGGAGGCCTCATTAAAAACCTCCCTCATAGATAACCCTTTCCTAACGGAAAGGATCAACTAGTGGAGGGAGGAAAAGAGTGCCTCATTTTATTACTATACCAGAATTACATAAGACTTAACAATTACACCAGAAGAGATTACATAAGACTTAACAACTCCACCTATTCAAAAGCCTACTAACCGAAAAATAAAAAACATACAACTATAATCGTACAATCAGCCAATCCCCTTCTTAGCTAAACTATCTGCCTCCCCATTACAAGCCCTTGGAATCAACCTAATTAACACCACCTTTTCAGAAAGGATCAACAAAATTTCTTTAACTAGAGGCAAGATGAAAACAGGAGCCAAAGACGGGGAATGGATCCACTCCACTGCTGACTTACAATCGCTCTCGACAATCAACCTACTGACAGCAAACCAACGTGAAGCCAAAAAAATTTCAATGCCTCTTTTAATAGCCTTTAATTCAGCAACTGGTGGGGGACCTTGACCAATATTCTCTAAAAAAGTCATAAGAGTGCAGCTATTCCAGTCCCTTAAAATGCCTCCAATACCTCCAACCGAGTCGTTTAACCTCACAGCTCCATCAACATTCATCTTCAAGAAATCAACAGGGGGGAGCCAGCAAAGCACAGAATAATCCTTAGTTTTAGGAACAGAAATACCATCAGCAAGTGATGGATCCCCAATGAGCAGATCCTCCTGTATAGAAAATTTAGGATACTTGGCTAGGAACCATTTAGATAACCTAAATCTTACAATGAAAAAGAGAGACAGCCTATCAAGAGTTAATCCTTCAAACACAATCGCATTCCTTACTTTCCAAATAGACCAAATAACGACTCCTGGGATAAACTTCTAAATCAATGAATTCACCCTCAAACTCCCCCACTAGTTAAGTAAAGAAGGAGGGTCCTGTGGTAACACTATAGATAAATCCCAGAAGCTTACCGCTTTATTCCATAACTCCCAAACTACATAACACGTAATAAACAAGTGCTGCACTGATTCCTCATGTTTCTTGCAAAAAGGACAGAGGATATCTTCATCTAAGGACATTCCTCTGTTCACCAACTCCACTTTAACTGCAACTTTCTGATGAGCTAACTGCCAAAGGAAAGCTTCTACACGAGGCGGGGACAAACCCAACCACACCCCTTTTGACCACAGATCACTACCCCCAGCTTCCTTTCCAAGAGCACTCCTGCACGATTTTACTGAGAACAACCCATCACCACATGTAGACCAAGAGAGAAAATCTTCAACCGAATCTGAGAGTTTTATATCCTTCAATTTCAACATCAAATCCATCCATTGATCCAATTCCCAATCAGACAAATTCCTCCTAGTTAGAATGTTCCACACCCAACCATTCAATTCAAAACTTCTAAAATCAGCAACCTTACCCCATTTGTTAGTAGAAAGTGCAATCTTTTGGTTGCTTTTATTTATCCATTATTAATGGATGTCACCCATCTGTCTTGATGTTAAGTTCAATCTCGTAAATTCAAATTTTAAAATCTTTTTATTTAAAATTATAATATACTATTACTGCCACCTTTTGCTGTGTGTGCTGCATTCTTTTCTTTGTCTTCTTTGCTATACAATTTAGTTTAATTGCTGTCTCATGGCAAGTGGATACTCAAACCTATTATTATTTTTCCAGTGCTGATACTCCTATGCTTTGTGAATACTAATTAGGTTATTTTAGGAGTTTTCCCCCCCTTAAGATTTATGAATGAAGTTATATTCCTGATATCATAATGAAAATATATGATTTTATAACTAAAATAATGAATTTGTCCCAGTACTTATCTGATTCTTGGCGTCCTCTCCATGTGTATGTTTTGAATTTCTTTCTGTCGAATTGTTTATTTGGAAATTTTCTTTTATTATTGTTGTTTCTGGTGGAAAGATTTAAAAGCTTATGTTCGTTTTGTGCTATAGGCAGTTGAGTTCAGCAGATTAGTTGGCTCACTAAGACCAGAGGAATCAGAGGATGCAATTGTTACTGCATGTCAGAAGCTCATAGCGATCTTCCGACAGCGCCCTGAACAAAAAGTTGTTTTTTTCAGCCAGCGTGGTTTACTGCCTCTAATGGAATTGCTTGATGTCCCAAAAACTCGTGTATGTTAATAATGAGGCTCTCTTCTTCTCTCCACCCAGACCCCCCACATATTTTTAAAAAATAAATCAAAAAGAAAAAGATAACCTCCCTCTTTCAGTCTTCCTAGCTAGAAAAGGGGTAAAAGAGAAAGTTATTAGATTCGTACCAATGCTTATTGGCTTGGTGAGGACCAACTGACAATGTTAATATTTACTGCAATTGCAGGTTACATGTTCAGTGCTTCAACTTATTAATCATATTGTGAAAGAAAACACTGATTTCCAGGAGAATGCTTGTCTTGTTGGTTTTGTAAGTTCTATGACCATTTAACTTTATTTATTCAAATGTGTCTTGTTGGCTTTGTAAGTTCTACAGCATTTAGCTTTATTTATTCACATGTCTTGTTGGCTTTGTAAGTTCTTCGACCATTTAGCTTTATTTATTCACATATAGAAAAGTGGGCAAGGTGTGCAGTTGCTACACATTTTCTCATAGGCTGGAACCTAAAAGAGAATTCTATTTCATCTTCCTCCCCTCTATGAGGCATCTCCATAGTTTTTAGAATCCTTTGGTTGTAATCTATGTGAGTAAAGTTTCTTGTTTGTATATATGTTTCAGTTGTGTTTTTGTCGCTTTGGATTGATCTTTTGAACTGAAATGCGCTAGGGGAGGGAGAGAGTAATTCTATTGTAGTATTTATACTGTTTATTCACTTTCAAGTTACATTATAGATCCCTTTGGTTATGAGTTTTGCGGGTCCTGATCGTCCTCGGGAAATTAGGATGGAGGCAGCTTATTTCTTTCAGGAGCTTTGTCGGTCAAGGTGTTGAGTCTTCTCCTTTATTTATCTATGTTGCTTAATATCGCTTTTAATTGAGAGAAATGAATTATACCGACCTTATTAATTCCTTCTCTATAGCTCATTGACTTTGCAGATGTTTGTAGCTTGCCGAGGAATCCCGGTTTTGGTTGGCTTCTTAGAGGCTGATTATGCAAAGTACAGGTTCGTGTGCCAGTTTGTTGATGTAATCATAGATGATATGCAATCTAGTGTAAGACAGATAATGACTGTATACTATTTTTGGAAGCTCTAAAACCAATTTCTGAAAATTATTATTCTCAACTTTATGATGCTCTCTATCCCATTTTTTATTCTTCTATCCCTTCTCCCTTTTGAATTTTTATGTTTTTAAATGTTCCAGTGTGTTTGCTTTCTATACTTGAAAAAATGCTCATTTCCTGCTCCTTGCACAGGGAAATGGTTCACCTAGCAATTGATGGCATGTGGCAGGTCTTCAAGCTTCAGCGATCAACCCCGAGGAATGATTTCTGCCAGATAGCTGCTAAGAATGGGATATTACTGAGGCTTATTAATACTCTTTACAGTTTAAATGAGGCAGCTCGACTTGTAGATGGTTCAGTTCAACGACAACATTCTGGTCGATTAGATTCCGGTTATCCTCTGTTTGCCCAGAATGAGATTCCAGTCTCGGTAACTGATCAATCTGATATCCATAAAGTGAGGCATGGAATGACAGAGCATTTCTTTCCAGCTGGAGCAATAGAACTTTCACGGGCTTCAACTTCCCATTCTCAGAGGTCAGATACTAATCTGCCAGATCCACGTTATCTTGCTGTTGATGGCGACAGACCTCGATCTAGCAATGGGACATTAGATGTTTCAGTTTCCGGAGAATCTTCAGCTTCCAAAGAGCAAGATAATTTGGATAGATGGAAACTTGATCCTGATAGAGCAGAGGACCTCAGACGGCAGAAGGTAAGTAACTCTGTGAACAGGACATCTTTGGACAGACCTTCAAATGGATATCCAACTTCAGTAACTACCCCGGTAGAGCAAGTTCGACCTCTTCTTAGCTTATTAGACAAGGAGCCTCCTAAACAGCAATTGGAGTATGTGTGCCACCTGCCGGGGTTGGAGAAACACGAAAGCATACTGCCTCTGCTACATGCTAATGACAGAAAAGTCAACGGTGAATTGGATTTCTTGATGGCTGAATTTGCAGGTACCCATTCATGCTTGATTGATCTGCTGCTCAATGCTTTCTCTAGATGTTAAAAATATGTATGTAAATGGGTGACCGTTTTTCCATAACCGCATTATCATTGGCAATTGGTGAAATTCTTGAGAGATTACACCAGAAATACTAGCTTAACATGAGACATTTTGATTCATGCTGCCTATAAATGGGAGTTGTGCAATTCCACTGAGCTTTTTGTCTGTTAAGACAATTCTTTTACTTATTGAAGGCTGGGAATTTCTTTATGGTTTCAGAGGTCTCCGGCCGTGGAAAAGAAACTGGAATTGTTGATTCTACCCCTAGATTTTCACATAGAACATCGAGTAAGAAATTTGGGCAAGTAGCTGTTAGTGAAGGAACAGCGTTGACATCCGGTATAACTTCTCAAACTGCGTCAGGTGTATTATCTGGCTCAGGTGTTTTAAGTGCTAGAGCTGGAAGTGCAACATCATCAGGGTTGCTTTCCAACATGGTATCGACAATGAATGCAGATGTTGCCAAGGAGTACCTTGAAAAGGTGGCAGACCTACTTCTTGAGTTTGCTCAAGCTGATACAACCGTTAAATCCTACATGTGTAGCCAAAGCTTGCTTAACCGTCTTTTCCAGATGTTTAATCGCATAGAGCCACCTATTCTTTTAAAGGTACCTAAACTATTTTGGCTTCCCGTTCTATATTTTGGTGTGTTTAATCTTCATGCATTCTTTGTACTCACCGCCATTTTTCTTAGATGCTGAAGTGTATTAATCATTTGTCCACGGATCCAAACTGCTTGGAGAATCTTCAGCGAGCAGATGCAATTAAGTATTTGATCCCAAATCTAGAACTCGAATGTGGACCATTTGTATCTCAAATGCATCATGAGGTTTGCCTTATTATCCTTGATCATTATGCTTTATGATGCATTTACTAGCAAATCTCGTATTCTGCTCAAATTATCAGCTGTGATTATTTGAGACTTTAAAGACCTCGTTCAGTCGTTCTTGTGTCTTATGCTAATTTCATAACGTTGTCTGCATTACTTCCCTCTCTCCGTGTTTGGTAGTTATTTCATGGATTTAATTCTAAGTAATGTTGACTGACTTCATTAAATGATATGATGTGTTACCTTCCTTAATAGGGAAGGATGTTTCATTATTGGGGAACAACTATTTTAGGAAAAGGAAAATATTATTTAGTTACAAGTCAGATTTTATTCAAAGCCCTAAAGTGATCTCGATCTCTCTTCTAACGATCCCTGAGGTTTCAGTCTCCCTTTGATGAGCTGAAAGGTTTCAGCCCCCCTTGGATTAGCTGAACTATCAGTCCGAAACACAAGATTATAACATGCTGGCACCCACCAGATGTTTAAGAAAATACTATAAATTAGTTTTTGTGCTATTGATCCTACTAATTATATTATTTATTTCCCTTTTTCATACTCTTTTGCTTGTTGATTGGCATACGAATGTGTAGACTGCAGCTTTAAATCACGAGAGACGAGACATATTTCTGTCTAAAGTTCTGTTATCCGATTATTATTACATTAGGTTGTGTTGAATTTTCACTCTTTGTGCTGGTGCTAGTGGGCAGTGAAATTATAACGATAATGATAATTTCTATATCTTCTGAAGGTCCTCAATGCACTGTTCAACTTGTGCAAGATAAATAAGAGGAGACAGGAGCAAGCAGCAGAAAACGGAATCATTCCACATTTGATGAAATTCATAATGTCAGATTCTCCCTTAAAACAACATGCACTGCCGCTACTGTGTGACATGGCTCATGCATCACGTAATTCAAGGGAACAGTTGAGGGCGCATGGTGGATTGGATGTGTACTTGAGCTTGCTTGATGACGAGATTTGGTCTGTGACGGCGCTAGACTCGCTTGCTGTTTGCTTGGCTCACGACAATGACAACCGGAAGGTGGAACAAGCCTTGCTGAAGAAGGAAGCAATCCAGAAGTTGGTGAAGTTTTTCCAGTGTTGTCCGGAGCGACACTTTGTCCACATATTGGACCCGTTCTTGAAAATTATCACGTACGGGATGCTAAACCCTTTGATTATTTTCTTAGTTCATTTGAGAGCATGCAGTGCATTTATTGATTGGATTATTGATGGTTAAGGACCAATACGACAACATCCTCTGCCATTTCACTGGTATGTATGGAAAATTGGGTTCTAAATTGACACTATTTATTTCTGTGAATGCAGGAAATCGTCCCGTATAAACACAACGTTAGCTGTAAACGGTTTGACACCTCTTCTAGTCTCAAAGTTGGATCACCAGGACGCTATTGCTCGCCTTAATCTACTTAAACTAATTAAGGTCAGTACAATCCTTTCCCATGTCAGAATCTGTGTGCTATCGATTTTGTTTACAAATCACTGGTCTATTCCAGAACCTTCAATCAAAATTTGTGTCTCGAGGTCCATTAAGGTGGTTCGTTTTCTTGTTAACTACCATTAGGAAGCTCCTTGAATCGAGCTAAACAAACAAACGTGTTTCCCTTTGTTAATCATTTAAGTGGGAGAAACCGGTGGGTGGGAAATGTACGCCATTATTGTTTGTTCCACCTTTACTGTGCCGTTTGAGTCAGAAAATATATTTAGATAGAAAAGGAAAAATTAGGGATGACAAAAAACTCGTGAATTCTAACTTGATCCGATCTGATAGTATCAGATCGTTTTTAATGGGATCTGGGTTTCAGGTCGGTTTTATTGTTATAGTATTAAGTTGGTTTGGGTCGGTAAAAAAAAAACTCGCCCTTTGCCATCCCTATGAAAAATAGGAGTAGTTTACGAGTAGAGAATATTGTTTTAAGACCTTAGTTTCATGCCAAAAGTTGTTTTACTGTACTACAGTATTGATGCAAGGATATATTATTAACTCGAGCACTTGAAAAGAAACCAGTATCATTGTACAGTTTTGTGGTTCATAACTTGTACCTTAGTGATGCATTAAGATGAGGTTTATCTTGAATGATTTCGATCTGATTTCTTCTGGTGTTGGCAGTCGGTTTACGAGCACCATCCACGACCAAAACAATTGATCGTTGAGAACGATTTACCACAGAAGTTACAGAATCTAATCGAGGAACGGAGAGACGGGCAGCGTTCCGGAGGCCAAGTGTTAGTGAAACAAATGGCGACTTCATTGCTCAAAGCCCTTCATATTAACACCGTCTTGTAAAAAAAACCTAACTGATTCCTCCCTCCTGTGTATACGTTTTATTCTTTTAGGTAGGCAATGGCTTGGTTTACACATTTTTTTTAATCTTTTTTCTAATTTTTATTTTTGATCAATTATTTGGTCACGTATAGATTGCCAGCAGGGTATAGGAAATGATAAAATGGCTTATTTTAAAGGGTAAAATACGTATTTAGTGTTTAAACTATCAATCATTGAAGTTTCACCGGTACCAGACTGGGCTTCAGCAATCACATCACGACCGTTGATTATCGGCATGACGGCTCTCTGCTGTATCGCCGACGGCTTTTCAAAGCCGTAATTGTAGATTCCACGGAGGAGATCGTCTTTTAGCCCCATCTGACCGAATAGAGTGAAGATAAATCCAGTTAAAAACAATTAAATGGCTACAAAAACAAACGTATATTTGACTCAGAAATAATGAGGGAATCAGTAATCGAACGAAGTAGAAGACTAGTGTAGTGTTGAGATACCTCAGGTAACTCATGCACGTGGGTTGAAGCAGCTCGTGCATATCATGCATGTGGGTTGAAAAGCAGCTAATGAATGTTAATTAGTCTGCATATGGAGGCTGTTAGGAAACGGTTTTAAGAGTTGTTAGAGTTTGTTATAATTGAGCTATAAGTAGTGGAAATAGGTGATGTGTAAAGCAAGTTAAATCAATAAACGTTTTCTTGTTTCTTCTTGAGATTTCTAAGCTTTGCATTTCTGCAATGCTTGAAATGTAGGAAACTAAAACGGCCACACTAACAACATGGGTAAACTCAGATCAGCACATAGGGGCAGGAACTCGATCGAACCCCACATCTTGAAGCTAAACAAAAACGGTACAATCGACAGTTAAAATGGGATAGCCTCCAGTGAAGGAGTAATAAGGGACGAGAATGGGGAGTGGAAAGTAAACTTTCACAAGTCAAACAGGGCATGTTCTGTTCTAGAAGCGGAATTATGGAGAATGTTCGAAAGTTGCACGGGAACCGGAAATTGACAATAAGGATGCATGCAAATGACTAATGAGAGAACCATTGGGAAACTCGAGTCAACGCTCTGGATACACACAGATGGAATGTTACGAAAGGAATAGGAAGTAATAGCCATCCATATGCATCGTGAAGGAAACAAAGTGGTTGATCGAATGGTCAAACTGAGCCAAACGAAAGACACTCAGTGCTGCGTATTGTCAACACCACTAGCAGTCTGCTACAAACTAGTATTAGAAGAAGGCAGAGATAAGATAGTTTAGATTATTTGTTTAGTAAGTGCTGTTAGTTAAAAAAATGTTTACATTTCATTTTGTTAATGGCTTATATAATTTTTAATTTAATTTTATTAGTTTAATCAGTCGGTCCGATTTAGTTCCGCCAATTATAGTGTAGTGTTGTTAGCTTCGCTTCACCAAAAAGCTGAAAACCAAATAAATAAGTAATGATAAAAGTTGCCAATTGCTATGATGTGGACCTTACTCGAATGATGTTAAAATTCTTTGTAGTTTTTGTAAAAGCAACAGACAGTGGTGGGTGGGAGCCATGGGCCACAAATGGACAATAGTAAGACACACTATCAATGGTGTGCTTAAAAGACTTTTAAGGATAGATTATGAAAGCAACAATTCATATAACAATTAGCTAATTATCATTCATCAAAACAGTTGTATGAAATTTACATATATTTGAACTGGATTTCACTTAATTGTTTATTGAGATTGAACATTTGTAAAATCCAACATTATCTTTATCGTATGTGTCGGAAGAATATGTTTCTTTCGAATATAATTTTATTTAAATATCGTCTTAATAAATAATTTAAAAAATAATATGTAAGTATAAAGATTAAATACAAATCAAACGATTTTAATAGTTAAAATTTAATTGTTGTTTTAAAGGTCTCAAGCACAACTTTTGTAAGAATGTTAAATATTATATTATCAAATACTTGAAAAATCTTAGAACAAATAATACTAAATAATCAACTGCAACTAATAAAAAAGTGTAAATTACGTATTTAATACTTAAATTATCAATTTTAATCCATTTTACTACTTAAATTTTTACCTTTTTTTTAAATCATATATAAAGTTTAGCTTTTGTTTTATTTTAACACTCAATTTAAAATTTAATATTAATATAAAAAATTAAAATTTAAATACTAAAATAAACCAAAATTGATAGTTTATATATTAAATGCGTTACTTTTTTAAAATCGTGATATTAAAATAAAATAAAAATTAAATATTAAGTATGATTTAAAAAAATTAAAAATTTAAGAAAATTGATCAAAATTAATAAAAAAAATACAAAGGCCAATAATTGAGTATTGGGAGCAATGATCTTACAATGTCACGTAGAGAGACCAAGTCCGAATTCATGTAATGAACGGACAACTATGCCCCCAAAGGACAAAACAAAAAACAAAGAGCAACAACAATAGTGGAATTGAGCTGGGACCCATGTTAAATGGGAAAGTGAAAAGTACTTTACCGTTTTGTCCCCATGGTCCCCCCATTGGCTGATTTGCTTCCAGATAAGCACGCCGTCTGTGATGTTCATATTTTCGGCTATACCTTTTGCTCCTTAAACTATTTGACTAAGAAAATTTAAATACTTTTACGATTTCTAATATTTAAATTTAAAATCTTTAAAAATAACGAATATTTGTTTAATCATTGAAATAATTTAATTAATATAAAATTAAAATAAACTATATATGAGAGAATTAAATTACACAATAATATTTATTTTAATATGCAATCTTTAAATATTATGAAATAATGTAAATTTTATAAATAATTATAAAAAGATCATTAAAATTTGAAAAATAGAATATTTTTTCACTTTTGCTTTAATTTTATAATGATAGTTATAATTTTCTTCTGGATAAGGTCAGAAAAACTCGCTTCTAAATCTCGTGAAGTTTTTCTTTTTATCGTGATAAAATCTCTTTTGGACACTAGCAATGATAAAGTCACCATTTTCAGAAAACAGCTATCCGGTTTTGCAAAACCACTTATCCTCTACCCTTCTATAAATAAAGTTCCCGTTTCCAGCTGCCTTCCTTCATCACAGTTTCAATATTAAAAGAAAGGGGAAAGAAAAACTCGAGTAGAAGAAAATGAGTTACCTTAACCGAGTTTGGATGGCGACGAGCGTGGCGCTGGTGCAAGGCCGCGGCGAGAACCGAGCTCAAAAGTGGAAATCGGGCATCAATTTTCTCCGACGGGGCCAAAGGAGGCTCTTCGACGGGACACATTCGGATTTGCGGCCGATTTCCGGTGCCATCGGATCAGATCTTTACGGGATGGTTGGGAACCGGGAAGGTCAAGCCGATGAGTCGATCCGTCGAGTCATGTATCTTAATTGCTGGGGCCAAGGATGAGGGATCGCACCTTCTTTGTTCTTCGCCTTTTTTCAATTCCCAACCCTAGAAATCAAGAGGAAATTAGAGGGAAAGGGTGTGGAAGATGTTAATACAAAAGAAGAATTCGGAGGTTTAAGGATCGAGGATCAATGGGAGAAATCATGAATACAAAGAACGCTGTAATTTTTTTGTTTTTTGTTTCAATAAATTTCTCTCCAGATCTGTGTATATACATGACCGTCCAGTTGGGGTTTGAATAAAATTCTAGTTTAAAAGACAGAAAGGAGCCACTGTTTTTTGCCATGCATGATGCACCAAAACATGTATCGGGACGATCCAAGTATAATGCTTGGAAATTGATTTCAACCAACAAAAATATATACTAAAATCCAGTTGATCTTTCAGTTTTATAATGAAATAATACCAGATGACATCTAGCGGTGTGATTTCGCGTTCACACAGCTATTTCGGATAATATCGATTTCGAATGGCGTTGCAATCGCGAAATAACCGCTGTTATAGTATTAACGGTCTGCTATTGGTATGATTCCGTATTCACATTGCTATTTCGGACAATATTAGTTTCAGATGGTGGGACACCGTGAAATAGAGGAGATAGCGGTCCACTATTTAAAACCTTAGGTCGACCGTCGTCATCTTCAATAAAAGATGGATTCAAAAATATTCTTTTAAGGTAGATACTAAAAGTAAAATTTGTAAGCATCTATAATAAAATGAACATCAAATATACAAAATTTAGATTCTAAGATAACATGCTCCCACCAGAGGATGCAAAAACATCCGTCAATATCTTTAACAGGAAAAATTTGTCTAAAAAAAGAACAGTTCTTGCGTGTTTTTTGTTGTGTTCTAATCCCTTTTTTCTATTTCTTTTTCTTTCGAACCCATTTTGATGGATTGATTTGATGTAACAGAAAATAACAGGAATAGCAGGCTGATATCACTGCGATCGACCGTTACCTGTTAAGTTACGGCCGCAATCGACCGTTATTGCTATGAAGGAGTGGCCACCTCCTAAGAATCTTAAATCTCTTAAGAGATTTTTGGGATTGACCGGTTCCTATCGAAGATTTATTAAAGATTATGGGACAGTTTGTAGACCATTGACACAGATGTTAAAGAAAGATAAATCCCAATAGAGTCCGGAATGAATTACAACCTTTGAAAACTTGAAGGAAAGAATGTGTTCTGCCCCTGCATTGGCACTGCCAGATTTCTCTAAAACCTTTTATTTAGAGACTGCTAGTTCCAGTGGAGTGGGTGCTGTGTTATCTCAATATGGTAGGCCAATTATTTTCTTGAGCAAAACATTAAGTCCTAGGCACTCTAATTTATCCATCTATGAGAGGGAATACCTTGTTATTATCCTAACAGTCTCAAAATGGAGACATTATTAGGAAGGAGGGCCATTTGTGACTAAAATAGATCATGAGCCCTTAAAATACCTCCTAGAACAAAAACTCACTACAACTATTCAAAAGAAGGGATTGACTAAGCTTTTAAGCTTAGATTATACTATTCAATATAGGAAAGGCAAGACAAATATGGTGGCTGATGCTCTTCAAGACAGTGGGAGGACCAGGGTCAATGTTATATGATGGGGGTTACCACTTTGGTACCAAAATGGGTGCAGGAGATAGAGGACAATTATAAGGAAGATGCCCTCGCGGCTGAATGGACA